AAACCCGGCAACACCTCAGGAAGCCTGTCTGCAAAAGGGTTTATGGTTATAGGACTCAGGGCTCAGATCCTTCCCGCTCAATACTCCGTCACAAGGCGCAATATCCCTTTACATGGATCCTTTGCGAGTGGGATTCGGACACGGTGCTGGCGCAGGTGTTGGATTTAGAACACCAAGTTCTGTAGCAGCCGCCCCTGCCAGGCTTGTTGGCGCCGCCACAAACGCGATGATCCTTGCAAGCTCTCCACCCTCTGAGACTTACCTATGGTCAGTAGGGAATGGAAGAATGGTAGTAATAGTAGTTATAATTGTACCCCATTCCTCCATTCCCTACAAACCAAAGGTAAGGAGAGAGCAAAAGGCTACCAACCGGATGTCCATTGAGTTTTGTCCGCTCCCAGAGTCTCCTCCAATAAGTAGAACGACCTGTGGCTCAAAGGTCTGCACCAGAGGCGTTTAGAGGTTGATAATAACTACCAACATTATTCCCCCTTATAGCAACAGCTTAGGGGTTTAGGGCCTTGGTTTACTGCGTTGAACCATGCCGTGACTCTGTGGGCTTCTCGGCAGCTCACTTGAGCGGCCCCGTTGTGCCACCTCTGCGCAGGTTAGCGAGAGGCCTCCGAGCCACTAGTCGAATACCCTGTAAAGAAAAGCTCGAAGCTACGGTAAGAATGGTAAGAGTAATAATAATGATGATAAGGACGATTACAATAAAGAAGAAAGAGCACGTGCTCTTGTCCCAAGGCGTAACGGCAACAAGCTAACCTGAACATCCTGGCGCAGGTGAAGTTCAGATGCAAATCGGGCCCAGGTCCATTTAGGATGTCCTGCGGTTTAGGGCAGCATTGTAGAGTTTTTACAACATGAACATAAGAGGGTGCGGTGTCGGATTTAAACCTAAGTCCAGAGATTAGATCTTCCGTTCCCAGGCATTGTAGCTATATTTCCAGTGCGAGAAAACAGCTGCTGCCAAGTTACGGTGCTGCCTACTTTTGACTAGCTGACGGTTGCCTGGACGGGTACTTCCATCGTTGACGGCTGCTGAAGGCAATGGAACAGCTGACTAGTTGAGTACCCATATATGATCAGGGTTTGCGCGGTGAAGTTGCTGCATCTCAAGCCTCAATTTGGAAAAGGGTGTAGGTCGTGGGATTTCTTTTTGCAGTGTTAGGGTTTAGGTCGGACGTCTTCCTGGAGACTGCTCGGAGGCATCAAAGCTGCAGGATTGCATCGCAGTGTCTAGCATCCGAAAAGAAGGCTCGCTTCCCAGTCCCTCTTGCTAAGTGATGAAAGACCATCCTTTCCACAGCATGGCAACTTGAAGTAAATTCATGATCCCGAGCATTACCAACATCTCTAATCATTCTTCTAAAATGCAAGACCTATAAAGACACTGCAGCGACCCGAAAGAACCCCGGCTCGGGCAAATGGAAGATGCAGCACGTTACAGCACCTTAAACCCACTGTTCACCCACTTAGCGGCCAGAGCTTCCTGTGAGCTTTTGTGGATCAACAGTGAGAATGCTAATAATAATAATAAAGATAACAATAACAATATTACTTATATACAAAACATTGATAATTACGACCATAGTAGTAGCAATAATACAAATACTAACAATAAGAACTGAAGAAAAGAATCTTGAGCCACGGCTCGAGGTGCCCAGCAAGAACGGCACCGTCCAAGGAGCCTTGGTGGAAGGCTCCCCGGCTCAGTCTGTTGATATAATTTTTTATCGGAGCTTCCGAAAATTCGGGGGTTCCGTATTTAGGGCTTCTTATGAATAAGGATCCTATACTAGGGCCCCCTATTTTCGGAAACTCCCTTATAGGGGTACCTTATTCTGTGGATCCTTCTAATACGGATCCTGCTATTTATAAATAAACCTAAGATAAGGGTTAAGATGTGGATTGAATGTTCTATAATACTGTAAGGGCAACATAAGGGATGTTTATATATGTGGGGATGGAATAGTCCCTGAGGGTCCATGTACCCAAATAGTATGTACTTTCGGCCCAATGCACTTACTTGTATGGGATGTACTGAAGTATCTACCATTTGGGTGGACATGGAAGAGCATGATACCAATGATACCCGTATGGTTCCTCATGCAAGCATAGAATAATGTACCCCCAGAGGCTTATTCCACCCCCAGAGGCTTATTCCAGCTGTTAAGATCCCGAAAAGGCTGATGAGTACTACTCCTTTATTTCTTTGAAGGTTAACGTTGAGATTTGGTAATGTCTGTTGCGTAACTCGGGTGGATCGGGCTCGGGGTTCGGGAGCCCCAAGCTGATTAGTTACGGCCCTTGTCTTGCAGGGATTGAAACAAGAGGTTCACCATCAATCCCCATTAAGGGGGTGCTGTTCCTCAGGAGTTTAATTATTTTGCAAATCATAAGCCGCCAAATCCTGCTCTGAAACATCAGAGGAAGGGCTTAGGGACTGACCCGGGCTGCTCAAGATAGAGATAGGAAAGTTTCGTGTCCTTCTTTCGCGCTCGGAATGCCGCTCGCTCGAGACTGTGCTGCAGCCCGAAACCCCAAATTATGCTGGACCCCGAAGCTTTCTAAGATGAAAGCTAAAACCAACAGCGTCAAGGCTGCGGCAGCCATGAGGACCTGTCCCAGGCGGCACAAAGCCGGCCGGACTCTCGCGAGGGTTTCAAGGTTCCAGAGTTGTAGGGGTCCTCATCATAAGACTCCGACTGCTTTACATGAAGCTAGTCATGTGGTGTGGGCTTACGGTTGAGGGTTGCGTGGTTTGTTGCTGACATGTATGAAGGGTGTGAGGTTTTTGGAAATTACGGGCATTAGATGGGTTCAGGGCGTGCGGTTGACAGGAGGTTAGGATATAGCGTTTGCAGGGCTTCGGAGTTCCTAGGGCTCAGATTTAGGATTGTGAACTGACAGGTTTAGCTTAGGTTTCCTTCCCAAAAGTCAATACCCCACTTCATCTACTGTAATACACACATGTTCACATGCCCGCAAGCACACACACACACACACACCCACACACACACACGCACACACGCACACGCGCGCACGCGGACACTATGCCTTCACGGTCAATCAATATATATATATATATATATATATATATGTTGATATGCTACATAGATAAGACGGACGCAGAGAGTTGGCTTTATGTACACAGGCTCACTCGTATGCTGGTGGGTACCTTGGGGTGCTGATGCTGGTTGTTACAGTGCAGAGCGAGACTCAGTAAGGGCCTGCGACGAATCCCAAATCCAGAAGGTGGCCCTACGATCCACTGCAAGCTTGCATGCTACGTCTCGGACCCATCTTGCATCTCCGCCTGCTCAGCTGCTGCAGAAGCCGGATAAGGGGTCGGAGACCCTCCTGAAGCCAATGCCAGCATGCAAATAAGCACTGAAAACCGAACTCGATGGCACCCTTAGACCACACTACCGTCTAAAGCAAGTATCTGGCTTTGTCGTACCTACACGAGTTCTTCACGGCAGAGCATCGTGGCCAAGAAGAGGCATCCTAAACCCAAACGCCGGCTTGATAGGACAGGAACCGTCCAGAGCTCGAGACCCAAAACCCCCAAGGTCTTACGCCCCGCCCTGAACCTCCGAGATCTCTTGTACTTTGATTCTCCCGAAAGCTTTAAGTAAGCCTAAAGACTTGAAAACGAGCCCCAAAGAGCCGTTGAAGCCCATGGAAATGGCAGCGCTGGCCCCTGAATCGTGAGCTTCCCGGCTCTTTCGTCACGAGGGCGACCCGAAGGAGCTCAGGGCCCGGTTTGGGGTTCTTCTAGTTAGGGTATTTTTGTTATTAGGGTATTTGGGGCATTGGGGTATTAAGGTATTTTGTGTGTGTGTGTGTGTGTGTGTGTGTGTGTGTGTGTGTGTGTGTGTGTGTGTGTGTGTGTGTGTGTGTGTGTGTGTGTGTGTGTGTGTGTGTGTGTGTGTGTGTGTGTGTGTGTGTGTGTGTGTGTGTGTGTGTGTGTGTGTGTGTGTGTGTGTGTGTGTGTGTGTGTGTGTGTGTGTGTGTGTGTGTGTGTGTGTGTGTGTGTGTGTGTGTGTGTGTGTGTGTGTGTGTGTTTGGGTATTTTGGTATTAGAGGGTTCAGGGTTTGATAGAAGAGGGTGTTGGGTTTAAGGTCAGGAGTTTAGGGGGGGGGGGGGTTGCTGTACGATGTTTATGTCAGTCGCGATGTCTACGACATTCTCCTACATGACGTCCAGCGCCTACATCAGATGATTCATGATAAGTTCGGAAATGTCTTCCTGGTCAACATAGTTTCAGATGCCGTTGATCGGCGGATGCGAACTCCGCAATGAAGCTGCTAGGGCTGCCTGTTCCAACTCCAGGCGAAGTGGAAAGCATGTTGCAAGAGGGGGTTGGGGGTTGGCTTCGTTTACAGTTGTTTTGGGGGGACTGGAGGGCTCTGGGAGGTGCCAGGTCCAGGTGATTATGCCTAATTTTGATAAGCTGCCGTATGGCAGTACTGCCCATTCTTCGCATATATTCGCAATGCAGTGCTAGATATTAACTGTTGCCTGTCGTTTTTCGAGATGTCTAGATTTGGCTGTGCCAGTCTGTGTTGCAGACGGGTACTCCGTGAGGCTCCAGTAGTAGCAATAGCAGTAGCAGTAGTAGTAGCAGTAGCAGTAGCAGTAGGAGTAGTAGTAGTAGTAGTAGTAGTAGTAGTAGTAGTAGTAATAGTAGTATGGATGTGAACTTCCCATACAAGTACAAGCCCTCCAAACGCTCACATCGACCCACAACCCCGGTTTGGATGTCACAGCAAGCCTTCGCGAAAGATACTACTGATAAGCATTGCAATCAGAATAATCATGCTCACAACAAGACTACTAACTAATGCTGATCAATGTATTAGTAAGAAGAAGACTTGAAAAGAAGAGCAAGGATGGTTTTATTAATAGTAATAATAAGAATGGCAATAACAATATCATATGATAGTCATAATGATGGTAGGCGCGCGTCCGCGTGGGCCGCAGCACTTCAATGAAGTTTGGAAAGCAGATCGAAGAGCCGCCTGGCTCTGGGATTCTTGCCTTCTTTGCGGTTTCGAGGACTTGACCTTAAACCCTAAACCACTGTGCCAGTTGTTATTGCTATAGACCTTGCCAGGCTTTGTCCGAGTGTGAGTGTCAAAACCACGGTAATGTAGGAGCCGGATGAAGAAACCCTGGCCCTATAACCCCAAAATAGTAGGATTCATAAAAGGAACCTAATAGTATCATTAATCAGGTTCCTACGTTTCTAACGGTAGCAACGAGACCTCATGAAGCCGTGCCTGTGTTGAGCAAGCGTGCGAGTCGAAACCTGCCTGGACCCTAAGAAACCTACCTGTTTTGGGCTTCCTTAAGATAAGTTCTTTATAGAAGTTCTAGAAGGTAGGTTATTTGGGTCAAGGCAAACCCTAAACCGCCCTAAGCCCTAAACCGTTTAGTGCGTGCCTTGTTCTCCTTGCCATGGTTGGACCAATGATGAAGAATATTTTCAGAGCCTGCACAAACGTTGTTGAAAGAGGAAACCAACAGGCTCCAAGTTGCACCATATGAAATTTAATCGAAGCATGCAATGTCAGTGCTTCCCAACATACACTTTACCCTGACAGCCCGTGCATGCCCACGTAGACGTGGCCAGCATCATCTACTTTGGGGACGTTCAATGCGCAGATGGGCTTTGCAAGAGGTCCTTGTTGAACCTACTCCCTCTTCACGTTCCACGTTCAAACCAGAATGCAGCGAATGCAGGGGTGAAGGATGTTGTGTTCTCGGTTTTGGGATTAGGGCTGCGGGGCTTGAGAGTAGAAGGTGCAAGAATAAGCCCTGTTCCCCGAAGCCCAGAATGCAACAGCCTTTTGCATGAGACCGCAGGTATGAGCTGCCTGAGTGGAAAGGCCGCGTGCTTGCCGGCAAAGATGCAAGCAAAGGTGTACTAGCAACGAGCACATAATGTCCATAACCGTTCTTTTGCTTAGTAGGGAAAGGAGGAATGGGGTACAATTATAACTACTATTATTTCCATCCTTCCATTCCCTAGTAACCAGAGGTAAGAACCATTGTAGTACTATGACTTCTAGTCGTAGTATTAGAGCCTGGCCAGAATAGGGCCGCGCAGCAGCATTCAAGTAAGCTAGCTCTTTGCACCGCCCTGCAAAGCGGCATCCTCATAATAAGTAGCTTCACACCGCAGGGCCAGCAGAGGATAAGAAGCTTCTAGCTTGGCGAAACTACTTCCAAAGTCACCAGTGTAGATCTGATCCAAACCCTGAGTTCTTGAATTCTACACCCCTCAATTTCTAAGTGCCATTTGCCCTCCTTTGCCTCGAACCTCAAACCCTAAAACCCTACATGCCTGGCATGTCCGAGTTGTGAGAGCGTAAACCCTAGATCCGAAGATTGACTCGGCGCTTGCTCGATCAGCTCCCGAAAGAAGCCTCGAAGACGTCCCTGCCAGGACACTACCTGCCTTACAAGCAACTCAAGAAGGAGCTCCTTTAAGGGAATCCCTATTATAAAATCCTCAAGTACCCGAAAATGGGGAGGATATGAGGGCTCCTTTTCGGGAACCTATTATGGAACCCTATAGTAGACCCTTTCAGGGGATCATATAAGCAACTCAACAAAGACCTCTTTTGGATTCTTTGGGATTGAAGTTTCAGGCCTGGGCCATGGCTGGGACGAATCGCCAGGGAGGGGCTTTGCCCGGGTGTTCCTTCTGTGAGGTACGGTCTAATGTGACCCAAAGGGGCTTTTTAGCTGTGTGGAAGTCTCAACCCGCAAGGGGCCTTTGCCATGGTGGAGGCCGAAGCCAAGAGAGCCGAATAGGAAATATAACTGCAACCAGAGCAGTACGCCCCGTCTGTGCGCGTGCCTGCGTGTGCGTTGAAGCTACGTTGCTTGGTAGTGGACGCTCGTCGAGCCCAGTATGCCGTATGAATGAGCGGGGACGGCAGACAGAGGATTGGAATGAAGTGTTTTTAGCGCTTAGGATTCCAGCGAAGAGGGTTCCGAAATTGAGTGGAGAGAGAGCTTCAGAGTTCGAGGAGTCCCTCGCAAGAAGATCTCAAGAAAAGTAGCCGAACGTGTCTCGTCAGCTCCCGTGAAAGGAGCTGGAGAAGGTGGCGCATCCCCATCCCAATGGCAACAGCCATGGCAACGATGAGGAACAACCTGCAGCAAGCAAAGGCTTGGCACCTCGTCTTCGATTGGTCTCCGTGTGTGGGTTTAGGCCAGCGACTTCTTGTATGCACATGTAGTGGCCATGTCGTCAGCATGTAGTTGTTCCTCCTCTCTCTCGCTCTCTCGCGCTCATTCACACACCCCCACACACACATGTGTGTGTGTATATATATATATATATATATATATATATACATACATCTTGCAGCTGCCGGCACATGACTGAGGCGAGAACCTCAAGCTGGACGGCCATGCGGAAAGGCAGCCAGGTGGGGCGAGCAGAGTTTGGCATGCTGGCTTCTGCCCGGAAACCAAGGCCCCAGGGCCCTAAGGCCCCATGTACAAGTACTAAGCAGTCACTAACCATAGAAGTCTAAACCCCAATCGGCCAGCACCCTCAAATGTAAACAACAGGATGTCAACGAATTCACGGATCGCGAGTGGCTTCAACACGTGCCTTGGCCCACAGCTTAACCCTGCACAGCGGTTTGACTCCTGGCACATGGTATAGGCCAGAGAGCTTCGCCATTGCGGCTTCGTACTATCAGGTGCAGACCGTATACCAGTATTTGCTTGGCTGCTGGTCGGATCGTAGATGTTTTGAAGCACCCACTCCTTAACAGACCAGTGGCCCAAGGGCACGACTTCAGAGAATCAGATGCCCTACCCACTCACTTTCAGCCCACCTTGGCTTTCGCTTCGTCTTTTCGCCGTTTGTGCCGAGGTGGAGAACGAGGCCAAGCGAATTGGAAACTCGGCGAGACAGTGGCCCACACCTCGCGCTTTCATGAAGAAGTTCAGGGCTTGGAGTCTAAGTCATAATATGGGAGTTTCCGAAAAATAGGGGTACCATTATTTTGGGGTCCATATAATAAGGATCCTACAATTTAGGGTGCTATATTAGGGTCCCCTTTTTTCGAAAACTCCCATATTCCCCGAAGACACGCTGCTCTGTCTGAGTCCACGATTTGGCCAGCTCGTTTCCCTTGGCCACTGCGGTTCTTGTCAACCCGCAAGATAGGTCCCTTGTGCACTTGCGGCCAATGGGTGTGTCCATTGCAATGTTACTATGATTTCAACCTTTTTCAACCTTGAAGATCTGCTGTGTTGCTGCTATCTCCGTTGTTGAATTTCGCAGCTTGTCAGCACCCCCTCTCAGAGAAAAACGGGGCAACAAACAGATCAAAGTCCTGCATGCAAAATTTGGCTTCTGTCAGAGTTGCAGATCCTTGAATTCCCGCTCCTCTCCAAGTCTCGGAAGGGCCCATGACTGTGCCAGCACATGTCATGAAGGGTATAGCCCTTTTGGGATGCAATTTTTCGTGGCGGCCATCGGTTGTTTGTGTTGCAATCTTCTGTTTGAAATAATTTTCTTTTAGACACTGCTTTCTTGTTGGGTGTTGACTGTTATTTCAGAGGTTTCCCTGGGCTTGACTGGACACCGCTGACTTCTTAAACAGTTCTGTGGGCATGGACATGCAGGGCAGGAGCACAACATACAGGATCGTCGGCGTACTTCAGCGCGGCAGTACGCTCCCATGGCATGACAAGCTAGGAGACTCTTCCAAACCCTTTCAGGAGTTTTCGTGGACCGCGGGATAGATGGCCTCAACCAGCAGCTCGAGGCGAATGCTGGGTCCTTTGCACGTCTATGTGTCTATCAGCCTCTCGTTTTTGTGCTCTCCATCGTGATACCATCAAGACCGGTGTGATCTCAACTGGATGTGGAAATCACCAAAAGCACAGCAGCATGTATCATGGCGACTGGTTCGTCTCTTCATGCTCAGTAACGACCACAAATCTGCGTCAACATGCGAACGTGACATTCCTCAACATTTCTCAGCAGTAGACGTAAGGATCACGAGAATCGCAGAAGCAGCAAAATGAAAACATGAAGGAGCTCCAGAAGCTCATCAGCGAGAGTGGATTGGCCGTGGTCGACCACTCTGAGGACAGTCACAACCTTAAATCCAAAAGCTCTAGAAGGACTTAGTGCACGGGCTCTCAACGGGGTTCTTGATTTTTTGAAAGGATTTAGGCCACGGGTTGACTCGGGATCCTCGGGCCCAGGGACCATCGAACTATGGAGATCAGTAGCTAACAGTCGAGGAACAGTCAAGCGGTTCATGGTGTCCAGGGATTCCATTTCGAACCAGCCATATTTCATGTCAAGGGCTTCCGGATTTTGAGTTTCGGCTAAGTGTATGAGGATGTTAATGTGGTTTCAGTGTCTGTGGTGGTGGTTTGAGGTTTAGGGCAGCCCGTTGTCATCCACAGCTTTTCCTGAGCTCTTGCCAAGAGGGGGTGAGTTGCATGGGCGCTGACCGGCACCCCAGTTCGTGCTGAAATGGGCGGGGTTGTGGGTTGGTTCCGTGGCCCGTTGATCTGTCTGGCCTACGAGGAGGTGGTTTCAAAGCCAACCCAGTAGCTAGCTAGCCGAAGCCTCACATTCCGCGTTAGACTTCACCGCAGGCCATCGATGCATATGCCTCGGCTGACGAGGACGTCCTGCATGACAAAAGCTGATGAGGTTCTGGGAGTTTTGGCCGTTGGGATAGGGCCTTTGACCCCAGGCATTCTCGCGTTTCCCAAACTACGGAACTCTGAAAACAGACCCCAAAAGCAGTATGGCTTCAGTAGGCCCCGTTCAGAGCCTCAACCCCTAAAGCCTGCACCGGTTCAGTTCTGGGTTCAAGCAGGCTTTGAGGCTTGGATGTTAGCGGGCCCAGGGCTTCTTAAGATGGATCCTAAAAAATTCGGGGGGTCAGTAAAGGTTACTTCGTTTAGGGGGTTTCTCCCGCTTAGCATCGTGTGTTGGCATCCCTTTTTCCCCACCAAGACCTTGCCAAATCTGGGACACACCGTGGCCGGACGGGGTTGCGATAGTTGTCCCGCGAATTGAAGAGCACATCGCAGAATATGTTTGATGCTGATACATATTCCTAGGGAGCGGTTTAAAGACAACGCTGAATCGGAAAGTACTGGGTTTTCCGGCCAACCCAGCCAGACTGCAAGGAGTCCAGCCACATGAAGCTCCATGCGCTCCAGGCTGATGTTGATGGGGGTGGGTGGGCGACTAAGTCCCTAACAGCAGGTGTTCATAAAATCAGAGGTCTCTGGAACATAGGAAGGGGTGTTGTTGGTAGGGATCCTACTACTCCCTTCTGTTTTTTGTCCTTCCGGGAGCGATGAAGAACAAAAGCCACGGCAAAGACCTCAACCAAGGAACTGTTGCTCAAATCTTCCTCCTGGATTCCTCTCAACTTCGGTGGATATTCCTTAACCTGCAGGCCCTGGGCAACGTTTCCATCGGCGTGCAGCGACTGCGAGCATTTGCTGAGCTGAACTACGCGGCACTTTCGTCCGCACAACAACCTCATGGGAGTTTGCCAGGAATCGATATGCTTCCTATCTCAGTTCCCCTGCGCCCCACCTGACAACGCCTGCATGTTTTCATCTATCCGAGCCCCAGCATGCACTCCATGTGTTTCGGATCCTGTGGTGGTGACATGTTTAGCTTCGCTTCTTGTCGAGCACCGCGAAGACTTGCCACGAAGTGCTGCACACCAGACCTCCAAAAACCAAGGCCCTCTACAAAATCCTGAAGACGCTGGCCTTGAATCGTTTTGGGTTGCGACTCTGGCGCCGGTTGGGGCATTGACCTTTTGCTGGATTGCGCAAAAAGGACATCAGTAACTCAGTATGAGCTGGGAACGCACATTGGTCAAAGCACCGACGATTCCATCTGAGCCACCTTAAGCCGAGAGCCGAGCCAGATCTGCTTCGTAGGACTCTGCAGGCTTACCGGTGAAAGGTTTGAGCACTTGTCTGTTTTGAAGTCTCCACACCCGTTGTCTACCACATCCCCGTGCATGACCCGAACCCATGGCTAAGCGCCTGTTCCTGCTTCAGGAAGCATGACAAGCTTCTGAAGACGAAATTCGGCTTGGAGCAGCTCTTCCCACGTTTGGTCAAGGCGAATGCAGCCCATCACATGAGCCCCCGCAGAACGACAAGAGCTTCATTAAGGCTTGATAAGCTGTACGAATATTAATGGTCACAGAATGCCAAGTATGAACCCGTTATACGGCTATTCGTGCGAAGCTTCGCGTGCACAGTACTTGCAGTGTTCTTCAGGGGAATCCCGAGAACGATTAGTCTACTTCTGTGCGTGCAAAACTTAAAACCTCAACCCTACAGCTACCTCCGGGCCGAACCCCCACTCAAAATAAGGCCAGACTTCCCTCATCCCTCTACCCCATAGCTCTAGCATATCCCAAAGCTTCAACTTCCCCGCACCGGAAACCTACAGCATAGCCTGTCAATGATCGGAGCGCTCGGGTGTAGGGTTTAGGTCTCAAACCGACCATGCTTTGGGAATTCTGCCATGAACATAGAGCTTTTTGAACAAAAGTCCATAATTAGGGACCCTATCGCCCAAAGATGCTTAATCACGGAGAGCTTCTGAAAGCTGGGCAGGAGACCAATCTTAGCGAGCATAGCCGCCTGCAAGTGCTGAACGACGAGGTGAAGGAGCTGTCCATGAAATGCCTGCGCCTGAGAGACTTCTTGGGTTTCGCGGGTTGCCTATGTTAATTTTTCAAGCTCCAATCTGAAGATCATTACATGCAGTTATATGGGTGGTTGTCAAAATTAGGGTCCCTTTTTGGGTCCATATCATAATACGGCACCTATTATTTAGGGTACCCAAAAACTTTTGACAACCACCCATATGAAGCAATGGCTCTCCCCCCGGTCGACAGCGGAACTCCTGCAAGAGCACTGCCAAGCCTATGGTCTACATATCGCATCTGCTTAACCTGCCTCGAAGGAGGGGCTCTGTCGAAAACTGTTGCTTCTGAGTGGAAGTCGAAGTCCCCCAATATGGTACCTCAATGTCTGCGGTCGGAAACCCTTCGTTTCACCAGACTTGAAGCGAAATACTGGCCAATAACCGAAGCTTGTCCCAAGCCAAGAGGTCTTCGCGCCCCCTGATCTCGAATGCCCCTGATTCACAAAACCGCGCTGGAACGCAAGATCAGGATCCCGACTGTCATGTAATCCTTGCAGATGGAGGGCCCTGAGCTAGAATCTGAAACAGTCTCATCCTTGCTCTAAGGAGCCTACAAACTGAATTTGTTGAACCCTCTTCCAGTGTCATACCCTGCTGTGACCTTGTTCCCCTTTGTATCATCCTCTGCCTCCGACGATCGTTTTAGGGTGGTTGTCAATATTAGGGTCCCTTTTTGGGTCCGTATTATCATACGGCACCTACTATTTAGGGCACCCAAAAAGGCGGCCATAATTTTGACAACCACCCTTTAGGAATGTTCTTTGAACCCCCTTCAGAGACCTCTCCCCCCCAGAGTCGCCCGAAGTCCCTTCGCTTGGCTTGAGCTGAGGTTCTCAAACCTCAGTGCCTCGCCTTTACTTTACCTTTGGTTAGTCGGGAATGGAGGAATGGGGTACAAGTATGACTACTATTACTACCATTCTTCTATTCCCTACAAACCAAAACTGAAGTTTAGGGCTTCAAGGGACTCTCTGTTCAAGAGTTCTATGTGGGGCCCCCCTAAGCCTCACGAGGTTCTGCACCAGCTCTATGGAGAAGTCGATATAGGGCCTTTAACGGCGTGTTCGGCTTGATATATAGATTCTGGGCATCGGAATGATTTGTGGGAAGCTTTTTGTCAAGGTTCTGGGGTCTCTAGGGTGTATAGTTACCACTGAAAGGCTCAAAAAGCTACATCGTTACTAAGTATGCAGACCCTTTATACTACAGAACCTAATTTGAGGTTCAGCGCCTTAGGGTTAAGGTGAAAAATCCAGCTTTCTGGACGGGCAGATTGTTGCGCCGGGTGCTCCTTTATTAGGGAGGAGAATGTTCCTGTGAGGGATTGTTGGAATCCGGGTGCTCCTGTTAATGATAAAGGTTTAGTCTTTAGGGTTGAAAAATAGCTTGCCGGGTCTTGCCTATGGTTGTTGTCCTTATTTGGAGTAACATGCAAAGGCCTGAATACTTCTTCAGGGACTCGGGTTTGTGGTTGTCCTTTTTGTTGTGCTCATTTACAACTGTCCTGGCCACCGAAAGCAGTGCGCTAAAGGATGCGAGGAGGGAGGCGACCACTTAGCGAGCCTTTCCCTGAAACTCCCGTGTTTTGGTCTTTGTTCTGCCTTCTCTGGCTCAGTTGCTGTCACGGCCTTGTCGACGCTTCTGCCAGGTGCACAGCCCTGGGTTACTGACGTTATTTTTCTATTGCGTGCCATCGTACGCATGACATATAGCCTGCAGCACAAGAGCATCGACAAGCTAATCACGACGTTCATCCTTGTTGCACCAAGGAATCGCCTGAAGTTGCGTGCCTGATCCATGGCTTGGGTCGCACGGGCCGGGACATGACCTTGGCTGGGCCCTTAAGCCCTTCCGTGTCCGTGCACCGGAGCCCCAAACCCAGATACGGCCCAAGTTGCTCCTAAAATGCGTCTTGCGCCTACAACTAGAAATTTTGAAGCCCCGAGTGATACGGTTACAACCATACATATGCTGTAACAAAGGAATAGACCTGAAACCGTCTGCTGAGGGAAAACTGGCCTCTAAAAGCTCCCGTGCTTTGCAGGGAAATGAACCCATTCGACTTCAATGGATAAGCCGCACCCAGAAGCAGGCAGCAGTTATGGCGACGAGTACATAGTAGTAGAGGCAGAAGTCGTCGCCGTCGGCGTCGTGCTAGTAGTAGTAGTAGTAGTAGTAGTAGTAGTAGTAGTAGTAGTAGTAGTAGTAGTAGTAGTAGTAGTAGTAGTAGTAGTAGTACTAGTACTAGTAGTAGTAGTACTAGTAGAAGTAGTAGTAGTAGTAGTAGTAGTAGTAGTAGTAGTAGTAGTAGTAGTATTAGTAGTAGTAGTGGCAGTGGTAGTGGCAGTGGTAGTGGCAGTGGTAGTGGTGGTGGTGGTGGTGGTGGTGAACCGATCCTGCTCGACGAGGGAGCACCGTCGCATTCACGTCCGGCAGTTCTTCTGACGGCTTCGTCCATTGGTGGAACCCACATACTGATGTCATACGGCTAAATGTACGAGCAGGAGCAGCAGCAGCCCCCTGACCGGGTTGGCTCCCAGAACACGGAACCCTCAGAGCCTCAAAGCGAAAGCGTGGCGCAAGTAGCCGCAAATGCCCCTAAACAGGAAACAAAACCCCCTCAATTGGGAAACCTACCTTCTTCCTCAGAATAGTTGTCACGATAGCAAACCCTGCAAGTTTTCAGGTATGCTCATCGAATTTGGCAAGTTGGTTCTCTGATCAGCTACAGCTGAGGTCAACCCAATCTCGCACCGAAGTGGCTTGGCCTGTTGTCTGTCGTCATCCTAGTAGCACAGGAAAACCACACCAAGGAGGAGCAATCAATCAAGACTTCTCAACCACGACCTCAAACACAAAACTGTCAGCGTGATCCTCGTACTACAGCAACTGTTCAAGGTCCTTCAAGCAGGGAGATGGAGATTCGCTCCGGGTGTACATTTCAGAGACGGTGTTCTCGTGTTCTTGCTGTTAAGGCCAAGGGGGATGCGCGTAAGCTTTCAACAAATCTGGCCACAACAGCTGCTTCCTCCCTATTTTCCCTAACCCTCACGCTGTCGGCGTGCTCAGGTGAGCTGGTTTTAAGCTTTTTCCTCGGAAGCTCCTTGGCCTTGTTCTTGGCCATCGGCGTGCTGCTGGCGTTACCTGAAAAGAGCCCGGCAGCCCAGTGATTCTCAGGCGTAGACATCCCAGCCTGCCTTGGCTTTAATGTGTAGCTTTCTCGGGTCGCTCAGAAGAGAAGCCTAGGGCCTAGTCTGACATGCTTTCATCAAATGCACTGGTCACCAGGTCTCTCAACGCACTCATCCCCAAGCAATCCGCAAATTCAAAGCAATTGCATCTTCAATGTCCCCTCGAAGTGGAAGGTCTCTTTCAAATTGACCGGGGGCATGTGCTCAACACCCAGAACTAATTCAAATGATGTTTGCTTCCAGTCGCACCGTGGGAGCTTGGAGACTATGGCCTGAGGACAGGTTTAGCGCGAACGAATAAGCGAGTCATAGCATGTCGTAGCCCTGCATACTAGTGGTCGTAGTAGTCTAAATGCCCCCACGTCGATTGTGGGCTCATCATGCGTCCGACTTGTTCTGGATTCGCTGACAGCTTTCGGCTTGTGACCGGATCCAGGTCGCAGGTTATTTACCGATGCAAGCATGGTGCAATCTCTGAACATGAAGCAAGGGCATGGACTTGATAGCCGTGACAGATGTGCGGCTTTGGTGCTCCCAAGTGCCATGAAGCGAAAGCAGAAGAAGGAGGTTTCGACAGGTGCTGGAATGCAGACAGCTTGGCTAAGGCTCTAAAGGAGTTTTCCCACTGCAGGCTACCTGGCAACTTTGAGAGAAATCAGTGGGTCTACTACTGTGGGCCAGGCTTATTCCGAGATAGGGAGTCCGCTTTGTTCGGACATCATCTCAAGGTTTTGCACCGAGTTGATTCCAAGGGCCAAGTCTTGATTGCGTTGCAGCACAAATCCGGACAGAGATTCGTGGCACGTCGTACGAGTCTATGTGTAGACCAATCACGGCACTGCAGTGGATATTTCCCGAACCAAAGAGTCTACTACACTGGGTCCAAAGTGGCGAAGCGGCATTCTCCACCTACGGCTTACTTCGGGCAAAGAGCTGTGATCACGAGCTTTGCCACCGAATCCAACTATGCCTGGCTCCATTTGGATGATGGCTGCCGTTTCAAGACAGGCAGCTTTGGGCTTTCCATTCCCAAGGTATCCGGTGATCGTTTGAGCATGGGGAGCGAAATTTGGTACGTGGGCACAAATCTATCCCTCTTCTGCGGCAGGGAAATTATGAAAGTTGTTCTGCCAAACGTAGCTGATGGCCTTCTAGTTGAATTTCGCGATGGCACAGTTCTTGCAACCACGGGATCCAAGCTGACGGCGCGCAAGCCACAGCAGCCACAGCATGCAGCGACTTGCCCATCGACGCAACTGAACTTCCAGCCTCCGGCGAGGCAGACAGTTCACTTCCGGCAGGAAATCTTCCTTCATGTGTTCAGTGTATCCATGACTGATGACATTGAAACAAGCCGCCTTGCCCTCGAAGAGATCTTCTTTTCCCAGGATTCTATCAAGCGCCAGTTTCAGGATGGCCGCTCTCTGGATTTGATGAAGCGGGAACTCAAGGGAGGGGTGAAGGACTTATCGCAAATACCTCGAATCACCGTGGTGCGCCATGAAGGAAGAGGTTTCTCAGTGGACAACCGGCGCCTGTGGGTCTTCAAGCATGTCTTTCGTGGAACGAAGCAGATACTGGTTACATGGGGAATGCAGGACCACCAGTTCTGGAGCAAGTTCACCACCAAGAACCATGGCGTCGACGTACGTGTGAGAGGAGAGCGGTGAGATGTGCCAGGAATACAACGATTGTTTCCGACGCTCTTTTCCCCGTCGTTTCGTCTGCCTGAGCCGAGGGGTGGTGCAGCCAGACCCTCCATCTCACTCCGCCCTTCTGCCGAAGACTGGAAACTCGAACACCACTGCAGTCCTTAAAAGACATGCGGCTCTGCTAGCACAGCTAAGCAAGGCTGCATTGCAGGAAGCTACTGAGGGAGTGCAGAGCAAACAACATGTATAGCTTCAGTAATTCAACGCCATCTGCTCACTCGAATTGGTAATTCACGGCATTTTGCTGAACAGCCAAACTGCAAGCCCCATGCAATCGAATTGGCATACATACAAGTTCATAATGCTGCAAGCTGACAGCATGGTACAAGGCCTGAAGCAATCAGGCAGAATTCGTCCCAAAGTTGTTACCTATTGCCCTGCTTCGTGTACTCAGCCATGCAGGAGGCAAAAAGACTCCCCCCCCAGCCAACCCGAACCGAACCCTCAACCCAAAAATGTAAGCCTACGGCACTTGGCCGCCCCCGCCCCCTGACCAAAGGGCATAGCAAGCATCAGCAGTGGCATACGAAGTTCTGACATACGTTAGGAAGCTCAGAGGCACTAACAGTCCCCTATCCAGCAAGCCTTGCTGGATTCAGCGAGTGGAAAGGGGTCGTGCAAAAAGACTTGCTGGAGATGGGTGACACTAACACCAAAAATGCCAGACGGAACCACCCTGCAATGCAGGCTCGTCCTTGCGAACTTTTTTTTTTGGGCGGCCCTATGCAAAGCAGACACAAGTCAGCGTACTCACTGTGAGTAGGAGAAGAAAGCGCTAGACCTGAGGAGCTTCTTGCACGTTGGCAGCCCCACTAACTGAGACCAAGCCGGACGGTTAACAGCCAGCCTGTGAAGCAAAAGGAAGGCAAAAGGAAAACTAGGGGATAGGGAGGTCATGGCATGTTGGGTATGTGAGAGCCAGTGCCATGCTAGTTCGGCACACTGCTCGGCCCAGTGAAGTCTACGACGTCCCGGCCGTATGCCTGCCTGTACTGTACCCCCTCTATATACAAACGCCTTCGTAAAAACACAGTTTCGCTCCAGGTTGCTCGGAGTTGCTCTCAAAACGTGACCAAACAACTTTAGTTGTGCCCTGTGGATGTGGTGTGTGAGAGGGGGCTGGTCGGCAAGGGCTCTGACGCCTTCGTTGCGGATGGTCTGTGCGTGGGGGTTGTCTGTGAGAACCTTGGTGTAGTAGGTGGCTTTGATCCTTTGGATCTTGCGGAGTGACTGTGAGTGGAAGGCCTCAATCCTGTGGAGGTCTGCTGTGGTGAGCGCGGCGGACTCCATGCCATAGGCGATCATGGGAATGAAGACCGCGTTGTAGATGCGCAACTTCCACGCTACACTCAAGCCTGTGTGTCTCCAGAAGGCGTGCAGTGTGCTGAAGTGCTTCCGGGCTTTCCCCAGTCTTGCGGTGATATCCGCCTTGCTGGACGAGTCCTGGCTGAGCACCACTCCGAGATACTTGGCCTGCGTGACTTCCTTCATTGGTTCACCTGTGAGGAAGTGTATGTGATTGACGGCCAGCTGTGAGCGCAGCAATTCGCACTTTTTAAGGTTCAACGAGAGGTTGCTGTAGCCAGCAACTTCTTGAATCTTGTGCAGAATCTGCTGGCCCCTTTCAGCAGTACCTGTGAAGACGGCCATGTCGTCTGCGTAAGCAAGGTCGTAGAAAGGTTGGTTCTGGCTGAAAAGCCACGGGAGCATCTGGCCGTGCTTCTGTAGCTCCTCGTCGACATCCGCCATGATCATGCTGTGAACCACCAGGAAAAGGTAGGGGGAAAGCGGGCAGCCTTGGCGAATGCCCGAGCTTGCAAGGGACTGCTGGCTCTGTTGTCCTGCAGCTTTGACTGTGAAGGAGGGGTTGTTGTAGATCGAGCCAATCAGATTGACAAACGACGGCGTCACCCCGTGGCGTTCGAGTGCCACCGTGACTGCTTGCGGGTGTACTTTGTCAAATGCCTGGCTCCAGTCAAGAAGCTGCACGTACAGGGTTGAGCCGCAGCGTTCGGCTCGCTCAAGAAGCCTCCGTGCCACATGAATCGCCTGTGAGGTCGATCTGGTGGCTCTGAACCCATACTGTGTGGGTCGCAGCTTGTGGTCTATCGCCTGCTCCAGGCGTTTCTGGAGAAGTCTGGCGAAGAGCTTGTAGGAGGTGCTGAGGAGGGCGATGGGGCGGTAATTGTTGGGGTCCGCCATTGTGCCGCGCTTGTGAATCTCGGCCACGACGGCTGTTGACCATTCTTCCGGTACTAGACCTGTGAGCAGTGCGTCGTTGAAGAGGTCAAGTAGCGGCTGCCGATTGGCTGGGGTGAGCCACTTTAAAGCCTCTGCTGGAATTTGGTCAGGGCCTGGAGCTTTGTGAGAGGCCATGCCTTTGAGGGTGGCGTTGAGCTCCTCCATCGTGATGGGTTCCATGTTGACTGGACTTGCGTCTGTGAGTGGGTGGGTGGGACCTGTGTAGTCCGTGGTTGGTGGGGCCCACTGAACTTCTGACAGGTGTTTTGCAAAGGTGTCGGCCTGCTTGCTGTAGCTGGTAGGCTTGCCGTTGGAGTCGTGCAAAGTGACTGTGCGGGGCCTGTAGTCCGAGCGGATGCGCTTTATCCAACGCCACTTATCCCGAGCGTCCATTGTCTCTTCGCTCTCCTGAAGGCGGTCCTTGAGCCACTGCTGCTTGTCCTTGCGGGCCTGTGAGCGGATGGTCTTATGTAATGCGCGCTCAGTGTCCAGTGTCCGAGTCCTGGCTCTGGCGAGCGGCTGTGCATTGTTCTATGAGCTCCCACGTCTGCTGGCTAATCCAAGGGTGCTTAGGTTTGCTGTCCTGTGTGGGGATGTGCTTCTCCTTGGACTGCAAAATGGAGTCCTTGATCGATTGCCATTGCTGGTCCAGCCTCTGCTGTTCGGTATTCAACTGTGAAGGCTGGGGGGAGGCGTCCTCCGCTTCGGCCTCGGGTGGGGCAGGCTCCTCGAAGGCTGGCTGTTGCTGAAGGGTTTCCGTGAAGTGTTTGTTGAAAGAGAGTGTGGACTCAGCGTCTGGGCGTCTGGTCGGCTTGGGGGTGGGAGTTGCTCTCTTGTGGCAAGCTGTGTGTAAGGAGAGCGTGACTCTGGTGAGAAAGTGGTTGCTGTTGAGGGCAGCGTTCGGGAGGGTGTGCACGTCAGTGACCATATTCTTCCAGGCGAACTTGGTAATGGCGTGGTCCAGCTGAACCAGATCACCGTTCGGACGCTGGTGTGTCATCCGGTGTTTCTCGGCTTTGTCCATCCACGTCTGAGGGAAGCACAGGTCGTGACTGACCGACATCTCGAACAGCTGCGCGTGGTTGGAAAGAGAGTCATCCTCGCCGGCCTGTGAGGCTAAGGTCTCATCTGCCACATTCGCTCCAAAGTGGGCGTGTGGCCCGACACTGCCGCGATTGGACGAAAGTTCGTCGAGCAGCTGCGCATTGAAGTCGCCTACTAGTAGAAGGGGTTCGCTGGCGGGGTGGCTGTGAAGGATGTCTCCTAGTGACTGCCAGAAGGAGTCACGGACTGGCTGCTCACGTTGGTTGTGAGGAGCGTACACCACCTGAACTGTGAGAGGGGCTTCGGCCGTGTCTATCTTGAAGGAGAGGAAACGACCGTCGGTGGCAACGATGTCCAAGATGCAAGGTGTGAGCCGTGGGGAGGTGATCAAGGACACCCCCGTGAAGGTCTGTACCGGGTTGCCCTTTGCATCCAACTTGTCATCGGCGCTGTGGGTGACAGTGTATCCATCGATCATGAAGCGGTCCTGTTGTTTCACGTGGGTCTCTGTGAGGGCCAGCCAGTCAAGACCGTGTTTCTGCATGATCTTGATCAAGGTGTGAAGCTTGCCGGCTTCCAGAAGGCCCGTGGTGTTCCAGAACCCGCCCTTCAGATGCACTTTGGAGCGCAACTGTGTGGAGTGCCTCTGTCTTCCGTGTTCTTGAGGGCTGCGGCAGTGAGTCTTGAACCAGTGCGCTCTGGTGTGTTGCTTGTTCTGAACATCGTGGGCCTCTTCCCAAGAGCCGCGGCCGCTGCTCAGCTGAGGCTGTGAGGGGGGAGTGGGGTTGGGCGGAGAGGGGAGGGAGGGGGGGAGGGTGTCCGCTGTGAGGGGGACCGTGGTAGAGGAGCCTTCCGTCGGGGAGGCCGGTGGGCCAAAATGGCCAATTGGTGGGGTGGTGGGCTCCGGTGTTCGAAGCCTCAGGTGGTTGGGGGTGGAGCGGTTCTGCGGGGGGTGTTTCTTCACTCTCATATCGGGAGCTTTGGCCAATAGGCGGTGGAAACGTCTGCAAGAGCGAAACTGCGGGCTTCGGCCCTTAAGGGAAGCCCTGGTGGAAACAGGCTGTAAGCCGCCCGGGGTTGGGGCAGTCGGCGTGGGGCCGTATGAAGGCTGTTGGTTGTTGATCCTAGCTCTGGAGCCCAAACCACAGCTAGGGGTTGGAGAGGTGGATAGAGCATGCCTCGAAGCTCTGTATTCCCGCCTGCTGCCCGAGATCTGGTGGTGATGCGGCGGCGTGCTCGCCGCTGCCGTGCTGTTTGTGACCTGAGGTGGCGGTGGTACTGTGCTCGGGTCTGTGAGGAGGGGGGTGTCTGGGGAGTGGTGTGGGGTCTGTGGGGCACTTCGTCGCCGAAAGGCACACTAGAACAACTCTCAGAGCAACCTGGAAAAGCGAAACTGTGAGGTAAAGATGGACAGAGTTACAATAGTGGCTCGGCGCACCCAGCTCGCCTTTAGGTGGCGTGCCAGAACGGTTCAACTTGTTTTTGCCCAGCTGTGTGGTACGGTCTGGGTCTGCTATGGTACAAGAGGCAGCAGCCTGTGAAAAATGCAGTCGCACGGCTGTTGCGGAAGATTGCAAGGAAGAGAGGGCGCGCTTGCCGAACCGTCACTGTGAGCCAGTCGAGCGGCGCATTGATGCACCAGGACTCCCAAGCCTCCTGTGGGTAGTCGGTTGGGACCCCACCGTGGTTGATGTGGGCGATCTTTGCCTCTTCAACCGCTTTCTCCAGCTCTGCCTGTGAGCTGAACGGGTAGTAGCTCGGCCTGGCCTTGGTCTGCTGTGGAGGAAGCATCGCGGTACTCGGGATGCTGGCCGTGCTGATGCCACTGGCCGCTGAGGCTGCATCGCTGTGAGTGCGCTTCATTTGCGAGGCCACGTCGATCATTGCCGCCACACCTCCGCTCTCTGAAGGCTGCCTCCTGCTCCTGGGCTGCCATCTCTTCCATGAGTTCCTCGGTGGACCGAAGGCCTGTGAAGTGGGTCCTCTCGTCGGCGTCGGCGGGGACTTGGACAAACTTCACCGGCCACGGGAACTCATACCGGAACCGGGCGATCCAGTGGTCTAGACCTTCATCCTCGCCCTCGTTGTACTCCGGAATGGCCTTGGTCAGGAACCTGCTAAGTCGCTTGGCCTCAGCATAATTGTGTGCTGTGAGGCGAGCTGCGCTGTCGAAGGCTTCCTGCTCGACCGTAGTCTGGTTGACCTGCTGTCGCAATTGGTCATACCAGATGCTTCGCCAGGTCTCCAGGAGCTTTGTGGCATGCTCCTCTGGGATGTGGATCTCGCACTCCCAGTCTGTGAGGGTACCGGTGGAGGTCGTCTGTGAAGGACCCCCGCGGCGGTACACGATGCGGCCCAGCCAAGCCTCCTTGGAGTCAACCAAGGCCAGCGTCTTCCACCTCGGAACCAGTGGCTCTTTGGTGAACTTGCTGAAGGCCGCCCGGTAAGCGTTCATGAGTCCCTGGAGCGGCGAAGCAAGCCTGCGTTCAAACTGTGTGACTCCAGGGGAGAGCTTTACCGGACCGCCGCCCTTGTACTCATAGGTCTGGGCTGGCTCTTTCGAGCCGGCTGCCTGTGAGGATTCCGCCGGGGTCTTCTCGGCCGTTTCTTCGGAGCCGTCCTTTGCATCTTCGGGCTCCTTGGATTCTTCCCCTGTCCCGGGCTTTTCCTGGTGGAAGTACCAAGGGTACACCCTGTCCGATACCTCCAAGATCCTTTTCCGGACCGTGAGGGAAGGGACTGTGAGGATGGAGGTGGCAGAGAGCTCCGGCTTACCGGGCGTGCCCGTGTCCAGCCGAGTTGTGGCCAGGTCCCACATGCCGTCGATATTCCACAGCCCAGCTTTCGCAAGGGCTTTTTCCACTGTGAGGCGGCGGTCTGCCTCCGTCTGCCAGGTGGGGAAATTTCGGTGCGCTTGGCCTGCTCGATCTGTGAAAAGAGCATGTCCTTCTCAGCCCATGCGGTGCGGATGCGAAGGGCCCGGACCTGCTGCTCCAGGTTACCCACTCGCTCGTTTGTCCTCACCTGTGAGGTGGACAAGGACGAGTATACTGCTCCGAGAGCTGGGGCGACCTTCTGCTGCATCGCCATCTGCACTAACTCCATACACTGTCCGACTGTTGCCGGGGCGTTGAGGTCTACCCCCTGGGCTAGCGGAACTGTGAAGGACTGTGGCTGCAGCTGAGTCGGAATTAGCACAGCAGCCGAAGACTGTGGGGCATCCATGCGTGCTTCCATCTGACTCATGCGTGCAGTAAGGTCTTGATGCTGCTCTTCACGCCGTGCTCCTTGCAGCTTCACTTGTTCTAGCTGAGCAGCCACTTCTGCCAGCAAGGTGGACATTTTGTCCAACTGGTCTCCCTGACCCGACATGGCTTCAAGGAAAGAGGAGGGAGTGACCTGTGAAGCTTGAACCGCTCGTGAGCTTGTCCTTGCGAACTAGGAGGCAAAAACAACTGCACCCAAAATCCTCAGGCCCTGCTACTGGAAAAAAGTCCGAGGGTGAGTGCTGAAACCCTTAAACCCTCTAGGGCCATCCGCTAAACCCCTAAACCCTAAGCCCCTAATTCCTGCACCCAAAGCCCGTGGGGGGAGCCCCCTAGAATCCCCATCCGAAGCCAAGCTGCAGGCCCGAAGACTTTCTCCGAGGCCATGGGCCTACAATGTTCTGAATATGATGCACTATAGTATATTAGCATCATATGATGTAATATAGTCTAATATAGCCAATCTAGTATAGTATGCTTTCATATGGTATGGTAAAGTATAGTATAGTATAATATCGTACAGTAAGGGATAGCAGAGTATGTAGTACATAGCATATGGCTTCAGAAAGCATATTCCGGGGTTCTCAGGGTTAAAGGTTTAGGGGGTCTCTTGCTGTTACCGGGCTGTTGGGCAACGAGGAGGGTAGTCCAGGTGTAAAAAGGGTTTTGCACCTCCGAAAGGCGGCTTGGGTATCAGGGTTAAGGGTTTAAGGGTTTAGGGTTCAGGATGTCGACCTCGGTCAAGATGAATGCGGGTCGTAGAATGGCTAGACTTGAGTCCAGTAGCAAACAAAGGGTTTGGCGGTTTAGGGTTTAAGCTTATAGGGTTCGGGTTTATGGAACTCAGAATATGTAGGAAGTACGCTTTTACGAGGGTGTTGCAGTTTCAGAGTTCATCGGGCTTATCTAGTTATATGATTATGACGAGCTCATGTTCCGGCCTGCGTGTGTGTGTGACTCTGTATGTATGGCTCCTTGGAGACATTGGTGGTAAGGGCTTACCAGCAATAAGAAAGCTGCTAATACATAGGTCGGGAGGGTTTCAATGCATAGGCTATTGCTTCTACCGACTGCAGCTGGTCGTCAGCACGCTCGTCGATTTCATGGCAGCCCAAAGTTCAGTCCAAATCACGGCTTTTGTACGTCATCCTCGGCGGGATGGACAAAATCCAAGTGTGTGATCCTGCAAACGGAATTGGAATCCTTAAGGCTCAAGGCATATCGAGTGAGCTCCGCATCCCGCCAGGCATATTTCTTGACGCCCATCCCAGTCTTCCGGGTTGCGGCCAAGCTGAGATAGGAAGGGACTGGGCCCAGGGAGGTCACCACACCACATGTCCGCACACCTCACAGTTGCGGTACCCGTCAAGAGCTTCTTCGCATGAGCAAAGAAGAACTTTTTCAGGCAGATCGGTGCAAGCTGCCGGGAAGGGACGAATTTGGGTGTTTCGTTGCTTAAGCCCGCCTAAACCCGGAACCGATCCGTTGGTATTGTGGAACAAGGTGTTTTCCTACCTCTTGATCCTGTGGTGCATGGGCGCTGTGGCGAAGATTTGCGACCAGCGACTCTTCTCTAACTCTGACTGTGCTCGGAGCGCGTGTTCTCTTTGATAAGATGTCTACCTGTTTGAGGGGCTTCAGGGCTTTAAGCAATGATGCATCAGTGGCTTATGCCGAGGTCCAAAGAGGGCAGGATTTCGGGAGTCACAAAAGTGCTGCTTGTAGGTGGGACGTCAACCATCTCTTCATCCTGAACGTGGATCCCCGATGCCGCGTGACTCCGGAATTCTTCTTCGCCCGTGCAGCCACGCTGACGACGGTTTGGATTTTGATTTTCGGACCCTTGGCAGTCGGTAGTCTTAATGCCGGTCACACCGAAACAGACTGCAGAGTGGGCTAGGTCCCTAGGTCTTTCCACACCCTGTTGCTCTCCAAGGTGATGTGGAGGGGAAGGGCGTAAACTTAGCTCGGAGCTTCACTTTGATGGGCGCAAGGAATGTATGTCGTGGACTACAAGTGGAAAGTTCTGCCGACGGTCTGGGCTAGCGATGGCTTCAACAAACGATCTTCCTTCCACTTCGCCGCTGGGCTCACAATTTGAATGCGCTGCAGGACAGGGTTGACTTGTGCGGTACCCGATCCGATTAGTGAAGGCCCAAACATTGTTGCCGCTCTGGTCGAGCCAAGGTGTTTTATCCGCTGATTCTGCTGCTGCTCGCTGTAATCGGCACGCTGGCACCATCCACTATCTGCCGGAATCGGTGTCACGGCTTCTCTGGAGCTGTCGAAGAGGGGTCTGCTCTTACAAAATACCGGCCTGTAAACGAAGCTCCAAAATAGTCGGACCTAAGCAAGCATAGTGTGGTAGAACCATATGCAGGTCTGAAGACCTAGCAATCATATCCGCTTGAAGTTCTGATGCAGTTGTTCGAGCATACGATAGCCTGCTCTAGTTGTAAAGGGTCGTATGTTCTGTGATCAGTTAGCGATGGCGGTTTCCATCTTCTCATCGCGCAACCACCCGTCACCATGCTCCATTCATGCAAGCCCGGACCGTTACGAAGGAAGCAATACACTAGGCCTCGCTGTGGGATCAGTTTTAATTTCCTGTTTGTTGTTTCACATAGAGGGTTATCTACGTCGAGGACTGCTGAAATCGACCCCTAGTACACCCGTCAGAACACGACAAAATCCCGACAGTAGCAATTTCATGTCGCAGGTACAAGGTCTCCGTGCTCCAATCGGAAGCTCGGACGACAACAGAGTCTTTCTGTGGAGCTACACTCGTGTGGGTCTGATTGCAGGATTCTGCACGCGTGTTTTGCAAAGGTTGGAAGGCTTAGCTCTTAAAGCTGAAACTTCGTTTGCAGCGGAATCCCCCAGCAACGTTTGGACGATTGCCGGCACATGCCTCTCGTTTCAACTTTTGCCCAGCGTCAGCTGCTTGATGCCTGGCCCAGGCGGCGCAGGTTATCCCATTGAGGGTGTATGTCATGGCATGCGAGACGCATGTTGCGACTCCTACCATCCAAGGTCAGACGAACGTGCTTAGCCCCAGTTTATTCTGTTGACTTTGCGGACAACATGGTCGGCGATGTCCTGTCACTCGACTGGAATGCGAGCCGCCACAAGCCCTCAGCCCCTCATGCTTGGCTTTCTTATGCAGATAGGTTCAAAGACTGACAACCAAGTGATTCGTAGCAATTGCACTCCCGGTCAGAAATCAGCACGTCCACGCAAAGGACCAGCATCGCGAAGCCGATCGAGGTGGCTCTGCACAATATTCGCCTCCTGCATGCCACGCAACAGAATGTAGATGCGCATGCTTTGCGATCCTTGGGGCAGCAGCTGTGTTGACTTCACCGTGCGTTTCCCGAAACCTGATCACCGGCAACCTCAGCAGTTTGGGGTTCGCATTCCCTGCTGTTGATGTCATGATTGCGCATACATTAGATGACAGTCACGTGCTAGTTTTACTGTCCATGTTATGAGTGCTTATTCACTTTGTCCCTATGCTCAGGGAGCGGGAATCCCGAACGTCGACATCAAAAACCGTACCCACCCCCCCCCCAAGAAAAGATGCATAACTGAGACCCTAAACAGGCACTGTCGCTAACCAGTGGTGGATCTGAACGGCCCATCTTCGGTTAGCCTGGTCGTGAGCTTGGCGCAGGATGTCCCGGCAGCTGTGTGCTACTTGCTCTCGCACCACCCACAGGCAGGGATGGTGCTTGCTTTGTATTGCATCCCCTGACTGAAAGAAGCCAAACACACGCGCAAACCATAAAGGTCGTCTTAAGACTCTTAACAGAGATGTTCGGTAGTTTTTCATTCGTGTCGGCCCCCAGGAGGAAGAGGTCGTCCAGCGCTTCATTCAGATGCCCGGCGCAATCAGGGCATTGTGTTTGGGCTGTAGGCTCCCAGAGACTTCAATATCCCCTAATTCAGGAATATACCTTATTAAATCATACTAGGCATCCTACTACATTTCAAGGTCTATTCCTTAATTAAGGGATATTGGAGTCTCAGGGCTTTGGGGTAGAGGCACCGAGAGGAAGCCTTCACACGCGTCCTGTCAGCCTTGAGCTAAACATGGGTAATTGACAAAATTAGGGTCCCTTTTTGGGTCCTTATTATAGTACGGCACATATTATTTAAGGGCACCCAATAAGGGACCCTAATTTTGACCACCCATCTATGCACCCACCCAGGAATGGCGACAGCTGCAGCAGCTCGGCAGGAAGCAGTGCCCGCAACCCCGTGAACCTTGTATCAGGGTTTTCGGGAGATGGCAGGTACTATCATATAATTTGTATAATTACCCCAAAACATTTGAGACACCTCAACCCTGATTAACCCACATGGTTGAATAAAAGTCAAAGCCCTGGCACAGGTCACCAGAAGCCTGGATTCAACTTTACTCCCAGACTCCTGCGTAGTCATGTGTGCAACCGTGCAGGCTCAGACTGCGCATCATGCAAGGGACCGGCAATAAAGCTGTGAACCTTCCCTGGAATTGGGGATGCTATTTATTATTACTGGTATGATTACTACTACTATTCTTACTAATTCTACCATGTATATTACGATGACTGTTATTACTGTTTTTAGACCTGCAATTACTATTCTTACTAGTCCTACCATTACTACTATGGCTGTTATTATTGTTATTATCACTCTACCATGATGTGCAGGTCCAATCAAACATTCGCATCCAAGGTGCCGGAACACATCGCTACCTGCCTCGAAAATGGGACATTTCCGAAAATCGGGGACCTTAATACAGTACCCTAAATAGTAGGATCCTTGTTATAGGGACCCCAAAATAAGGTACCCCTAATTTTCGGAAACTCCCAGTTGGGACATTTTCTTCTATATCCGTTAGTGTATAATAGAGAGCCCTGAATATAGATTTGTTGTTATTTCCCATGTTGTTCACTTTATTGCAGAGCCCCAAGTATGTATGATTTTGGGGACTCGTCAAATCGACGCCTAGAATACAGACAAAGCAATGGTGGTGTTGCCTATTTGTGAGTGCTGAAGAGCATTGCTCATGAAGAGGGTCATCAGCATGCAGTATGTCCATTAACATAGCCGGGCTGCAACATGCAACGGCCTGCTTCTTTCAGGCGACGAAGTGACCATCATCGTCATCACCACACCCCAATCATAATCATCCTTACCACTATAACCACCTCACAGGCCTCATGTCCACTGGTACAGGAGCAGCTGCAGGATGCAACAATCTGCATCTGAAAAGCTACCCACCAACTCAACAGCAGCATGTTTGTCATCCTTTCGGTTCTCAACCAACTCCTCCTAGCTTGGGCCATTCTGAGCCCATCCTCGTCGTCATCTGCCCGTCAGCATAGCAGGGGCTGCTACATGCAACGGTTTGCTTCGAGGCTGCTTTCGGATTTGTGCAAGCTGATTGGATGCAGGGTTTGCGAGTTACAGTCCTGTGGTTGTGGAGAAAGTTCGGCTGCCGGAGTGCGCTCCGCAAGCTCTGTATGAGGTTTCAGCATCTCATGTTAAACTCTTATGTGAAAGAGCGTCTTGCCTATGTTAAGTTCTCTAGGCTATGGAACCGTGGATTGGACATGTTTGAGGAAACAGGCTCGTGAGCTCATCCGTCCATGAAATAGGGTCAACGAACAACTACGTAACTACATGCTCCCACGGACATTTTGTGGAGCTTCGTGGTGTGGTATTCTGAGCACAAATGTTGCACAAGTACTTGCGTACGAATGCCAAAGATAGGGAGCAGCAGCAATCTCGACAGCAGCATCGGCCCACACTACCGCTGATCCTGGTACGAATACACACGCTAGCGGCGCTAGCCATCTCCTGAACCCTAAAGTCTCAAAGTTTATCGCCCAAGAGAACACTAGTAACACCAAGTTAGATTTCAAGAAGCCCTTGAACATGCACTATTCAGACCTACCCCCCCGCCTTTAGGATAGTACATCTCAATGTGAATAGATCTTCTTCTTCTGCTTTTTTATGGGCTCCCAAAGAAGCTGACGAAGGCTGGGTGGTGCCCTTCCTGGCGGCCCTACCGTTCTGGTTCCGTGCTCTCCAGTGCTGCCGGCGATGGGTGGATACCAAGGAAGCCCTGGTGGATGCGTCATTTTAGTAAAGTCCAAAGGGGCTAGACTTTAAAAACAGGAAGTAGGCTTCTGAACCTTATAATTATGTACCTGCTAGCAGCTAACATCTCGATGTTGGATACTTCCCTAGTTTGTTCCATCCTGTCTTGGCTCCCTTAAGAAGTGGTAGTGAAGTGGTCAAACACGGGACGTGAAGGCACACGAATGTAGAGAACCGCACGTTTGCGAAGGTCTTTGTCCGGCCAGGTTTTTGGGTGCTTTCCGTTTTGCGGAAAGCGGTGCCCATTGCCCATAGATTGGCTTCTCGTAAGAGACACGCAGATTCGAGGACACTCGAAGAATGAAACAACCTGGCACAGTCCTTTGCGGGTTGGAAGGCAGCGAAGCTGAGCGACAGTAGCCGATAAGGGAAAGTTATCCTGCACCCCAGAGTGTGTACTTCCGCTGCCCACAGGAGCAAAGACACTTGTGGCGGCTTCGACGAAATTGGCAGGTCGAAGGGTTGAGGATGAGAGTTGGCCGTAGGGTTTTAGGATTTTGGGTGATTCCGTTTTTGTATGCTTTCTGAGCCAAACACCGTGTTCAAAACAAAGGGGCCATCCGGGAGTGGCTAATCTGGATCTAGGAAGATCAGAAAGCGGACTGCGCATGGCGGATTCTTGCATGGCTCAGGAATCTGTTTTCCCAAACTTCCAAAGTCCAAAGCCCCTCACAAGCTCCCACGCCTTAGGAATCTTGGGAAATACCTTTGCAGCCTTATGGTTGTCATCGTCTCGCGCACGGAGAGCACGATGCTGCTGGTTGCTGCTACTCGGCACTGCTGGGCAAAGCCTGAGATCCTCGCATGTCTGCTTGGGCACGAAAGCCGACCCCCATAAGGTTGGGATATGGCGAAAAATACATGATGCTGTGATACTACATGACATGCTGTTGCTTCTGGGGTCTCTTCTGAGCTTTGGCGAGGAGACTTCAGCGCTTACGCAGTGTGGAGGCCTAAAGTCCCAGCATTGAGCTAAAGCCAGAGAAACCAGACCGCAAGTAGTTCTTGCCCGAAGTGCCTGAGAGCACAAACGATGCGACCCGGGCAACCTTATCGCCAACTGTTCTTTCATGAATCCAGTTGGCCCCTCAACCCCAAGCCCTAATACAGAATACAACTGTCTGCCGAAAACATCTTTGAATCTTCAGGTCTCCACGACAGCCACACTGTACGCATTCATTTGGGACGTGGCACGGCGGCAAGCCGAACGGGTCACAGCTCGTCCAAAACCTGCCAGAGCGCTCCTACGAAGGGTGTGCAAGGTTCTCGACGTAATCGGTGGTAAAGAGGACAGTGGTCAGAAATCTCCCCGAGCAAGTACCAGGAGCGACCTTCCTCTAGAGGCGAAACCCCGTTCGAACCGTCAGTTGTGTCTTCGAGAAGCCCCGCAAAAGATGTTTGAGGCCTGCCTTTCGGTGCTTGTTTGAGGGCTCGGCGGTGTTCTGGACAATGAAGCTCCAGTCCCTGAAGCATCGGGTCACTCAGGTTGGCCTCGACTGGGGTCTCAGCCACAAAGAGTCCCTTGCTCAGCTGCGAGCGATCGCTGAGTATTCGACAGTTTCAGAGAACAGACGAAGGCCAATCGAGCAGCAACCAGAACTGCTGTGAACCTCGTGATCGTTGAATCACTTTTGCCGCGAGTCCCAGCACCCTGCCAGTAAAAATGGTTCAACGTAGTAGCGAATAATGAGCACATCTAATATTGCAATATGTCGTGTGTGTGTGTGTATACATATACATGTATATTTTTAAGCTTCTATCGTTATCGATCCTCCCGCACTCACGAGGCTTTGGCTCAGGTCCGACTTGACTGGCCGACAGTTTCCGGTCAAGGCAGGGGGAGCGGTGTGGTTCCCATCATAATAGCAATAAGAATAACAATAGAATAAGAATAATATCAATCATAATTACAATAGCTATAGTAATAATACTAATGATCACATTAATAGCTACCATGATAACAATAGTAATACACAACTAATAATGAGTATAAGAATTACATTAACAAAGAGTTCCCATGAGCATGGACAAAGAGAGCGAACAACTTCCCGGGGAGCTTTCACACACAGGATTGACCCTGCCTTCCATCTCTGGCAAAACTCATTCAGGGTTGCGGATGCTGGCATGGTGCAACCCTCGACGTTCCGTAGAAAGTGCTCAACAGGCCTACTGGCTTTGCAGCTTGTTGGACATCTTCGCCAGATCTACATGGGTTCGGGGCCTGGCGCGGGATGCGGAAGCTGCCATGCCCCCCCCCCAAATTGCACATCCGTGAGTACGGCTATGGCATTAGGAGGCTCCACTCTGCGGCCCAGAGAAACGGCCCAATGGCCTCAGAACAACAGCCTACAGTGCCTACAGGGTTCAGGGTGACAAACCTTTGCTTCTCTTCGGGCCTCGAAGCAAGAGGAAGAAGGTTACGGCTACGGTGGCATGAGGGAAGATCTTCTAAATCTCGGTCCCCCCTCGGCACTTGTAACATCCTTGTAGGCCCAAGAAGAGCGACTCAACAGCCGGCTTGTTGAGTATGTCTGAGCCAAACCTTGCAAGCCGCATCGTTGGATGATCCATAACGTCCTGATATCCGTACTTTTCTTTCTGTAACCCAGAAATGCTGGCTGGTCCTGGCCAGGTGGGAGGCAAAAAAGCACTCCCTGCAACAGCCAAGCTTCGCCACGAGGTGTTCACACTGATGCCCACGAGCGTAGTCACAGGCTCTTCGGCCAACGAAGCCTTTATGTTGGGTTGGGATTCCTGCTGATGTGTGTTGGATCCGTTCTTCTTGTGTGCTAAAAGGGTCCCATGAAGCTCTGGCGGCTCCAAGTCGCAAGCTCAGTGGCTTGATCCCCTGATGCTGACCAGAGCCCGCTTTAGCTTCTGGGGTTGAGGCTCAAGGAATTTTGGAGAGTCAACGTTCTCGTTTCATGGGCCTACGACCTTTGAACCCTGACAAAGGCACTTCAGATACATAATTGCAGGCAAAACAATCAGTTGCCCTGGCCCTGCCTATCAGGCAACACTAAAGACCCTGAGCCCGGACAAGGGAAACCCCACGCACGAAGACAAGACTTTGCCTGGAGCCTGACATCATAAGAGCCCTGTTGAGGGTTCTTTTGGCCGCAGAACATAAGTTTGATTGGACCCTGCTAAGCAGTATGCCAGGGGCTGTTCTTGAATGATGTGACACATGACCAAATAGAAGCACAGCACATGACTTCAAGCGGGTGATGATGAAAACGTGGTCTATCAGCTGCCCCACCACAGACCAGTCCTTTGAGCTGTTACGTCCGGACCACTTTGTGAGTCTTCAATCCGAAGCACTGAGCACAGACCTTACGGCGTTGTTGTTCAAGGCGTTGTGAATCCTGAATTTCTCTGTGGCGGATATCCAATCGTTTTTCGGTGTAGAAGCAGTTCTGCGCGCCTCCATATCCTTGTAAAGCTACACTACACACCTTGAAGACACTGCACTCCGCCCAAGCTTCACTGGAGACCAGACGAGGTAACATCGTGGTTCGTGTGATCCTTGTGTCTGTGATGTCGTCGATTGAGATTATCCGACGGAGCATGTGGGCAGTGCTGCGTGACTGGCCGAAAATTAAGCCGGTTCGTCGAGGGGCCAGGGATAGTGTCTCATGTCGCAGAACCGCAAACCCTTAGCCTCCCGCCGTAAACAGTGATTCTCTTGTCCTTGAGATGGGGCGAAAAAGGGAAGCTGAATCGGATTGTAAAGGGCGCTGACGACCTTTTTACCTTCACATGTGGAAGTCCGTTGTTCACTCTGTTTGAGTGCACCTGTTCCTGGAGCGAAGTGAGTAGCCATCTAAGGCACATGGTCACATGGTGCAGCATTAAGCGTTCGATGCAGCTCAGGCATCGAGTACGAGCAAGTCAGCAATGCCCCGCTCACGCAAGCCATCTTTTCAGGGCCTGGCATGGAATTCCTGGTGTACTGACGCGTTGCTTGCGCCCGCACCTGCTCTCATCCAGGTCTCTCTTTCTTTCTCTCTCTCTATCTCTCTCTCTCTCTCTCTCTCTCTCTCTCTCTCTCTCTCTCACTCTTGGCAATCTCCTTCTCGCTCTTTGGCTCTCTCTGATAGACATAAAAGTCTGGTTGTGTTATTCACATAGTAATGTGCCTACGTCTTTCTATGGATGTAGCTCGCACATGTGTACATGTCACGTCCGATGTGTGGACATATGAGTTTGTATCGGTGCATGTCGATGAACTCATTTGTTCGTTCGTTGAGTCCTTCTCTCGTTGGTTTGGTAAGGGCATGTCCGCCGTCGAATGCTCGCGATCACATAAGTGTATGGGGCTTATGTATGTCATATACCATTTGCTATGTACTGCTGGTTTACTATATACTGCTGCCTTTTACCTGCCTATTCCCCTCCCACCCAACCTGTGGTCAGGGTCGGTCCCCTCTCGTTTGTGGGTCGGGTTGTTGCCCCCTGCGGAACGGATTTTCCACACTCTCCTGTGCCCTGTGCTGTGCGGTAGATCGAAAAATGGTCCATGTGCTATCACTGCTACCATATACCTGCTTATTCGGGTTGGTTCCCCCCTACTCGATGGTTCTCCCTCCGTACGTGTTGTCCTGCTGGGATGGGGTATGTGTCCTCTTCCGCATGCCAGCCCTCTGGTGCACGGTACCGCTGTTTTCTGAACTTCGTCTCTGTTCGAGAACCTGTGGGTAACTAGGTATTTAGAACAGTTGAACAGGACGAACGTCCAGGTGCTTGTATATGGCAGGGGCTACTGTTGGGGGGAGGAGGGGGGGAAGAGGGGGTGGTCGCAGAACGCACAGTGCACAACAATGGAGATATGTATATGTATATGTATATGTATGTATATATATATATATATATATTTAAATTTATATATATATATATATATATATGTATATATTTGTTTATCTATTTATTTATTTTTTTTTATTTTATTATTTGTTTACGTTTTATATTTACATGTGTGTGCGCGCGCGTGTGTGGACCTGCGCGTGTGGGTGTGGGTGTGTGGTGTGCGGACACAGCATGCGCAATTGCGCTGTACATGCTGCAAGGTCTAACAGTGGCAGAGAGCGACCCAAAACACCAAGTCGGAGCATCGCGAAGCTATTCAAAGCCCCACTATCTTTCCAAACTCCCATGCACTCCCCTTCCGGACCCGTCACCGCACCTTGTCATGAAATTTCCGGCCTTCTGAATTCAGGTCCGAAGGGTTTCTCAAGGGCTTAGGCTGAATTCGATCTTTGAGCCGAAGCCCGCTGAGGCCAGTGGCTTCCGCGCTTTGCTCTGGGTGCCTTGGCCCAGCTTACCCCGCGTTGCACCGAAAAAGCTCAAGTTCCTTGGACAATCCCGAAGCTGAGGGGCCTGAAGCGGATGCTTGCTTTAAAGACTTAAGTCGGAAGCGCAAGACATACCGCCGAGCTGCAAGGCCAAACCCCGAAACCCGAAACCATTGCCCACAGAGAGGAGAGCCGTGAGCATCTAGTAGATTCACAACGAAGCCACTGTTTGCTCTTGGCAATCTTTCGCGAGCATGGTCGGAACCTCTCAAAACTCCAAATACAGACCCCGCCACAAGCTACAGCCAGCAGAGAAAAGCTGGGAAAGGTGCCCTCCAAGCTGAATGCGGGCAGTGCGCAGCAGGTGCAACCAGAGAGGACCCTGGGCAACTCGTTGTTACTGCGCGGGTCCAGGGGTTTCCCGGGGTTTAGAGTTCAGGGGGTCACTGCTGCGCCCTAATCTGTGCTGGCTGCACCGTGTAATCAAGAAACCTTGTGGAACAAGATGCAGGCCGAGCCCAAGCACAGCTCTGCGCCAGGAAAACCTCATTATCTGTTGGACCATCCCAGAGAAACTTGGATCTTCGTTGAGAGGTTTAACCGGGTGGGTTTAGAGATAGTGAACATTGCCATTCATCGTGATAGCACGCGTCCTGTTTAGCAGTATTCGGGTTACAGCTGTTACCGCCATTCCTCCGGCACAAAAATGAGACTGGCATCGGCGGCAGCACTAGCAAAGACACCAGTCGCTGCCGGTATCCACCAAACTCGCACTTACGGTAGAAAGCTGTCGGAAGACCACAACGGCCTACAAGCATGACAAGAAGTTGCCTTCATTGTGATGGGAAGCTGCTCCCTTGTGGCCTAGTGCCAGTGGCATCAGTGCGTACCAAGTCTTGCTTCAGTCTCGGAACCTCTTCCACTTCTTCCCCAGGCTGGGATGCTACGCAGCCGCTACTCTCCTCGAAGCACAGCGAGTGATTCTGCCATTCACAGGAGATGTGAGGAATGCCATCGTCTTGGCATTTGAGTTCCGGCAGAAACCTCTGCCGGATCTGCGACTCAAGGTTTTGTCTACAGATGGCAGCGAGCCATCTGCGATAACGAGCATGCAGGGACGTCCTCCCAAGGGTGCAGAGCCTATGGCCGTGGTACTTTCGCGAGACCGGGTGTGGCTAAAGTTCTCTTTTGCAATAGCGTTGGACTTGCAGCGGGCAAAGCGCACGTCTCTGATCTCTACCGTGTCCACACCCACAAACGCATCCTCTGGCTCGCCTTTCATCACGACGTTTAGTATGGCTAAGTCTCACATCAACCAGAAATGTCAGCCACCCAGCCAAAACCCTGCACTTCCATGCGACGACGTCGCCTCAGGTGATGATCGATCCCCTTACCCAGGCCAGAACCCTGTCCTGCTTGCTTAAGTGTAGTGTTTGACCAAGAAGCCCCGCCGCTGGTGCTATATGAAGGCTCAGAAGATGGCACCCATTGCCTACTGTTTGAACGAGGAGTTTCTGAATCAGGTTCACGCCTTGGTTTCCTGGCATCGCGAACGTACCGATTGCCTCGGAGGGTGTTTCCCCAGTGCCAAAGGGCTGCGCATTGCACCCAACGACTGGGACTTGGCAATCTCGGAATTAATGCTTTCCGGGTTTCTGTGTACAGACGGTTGCACAGTTGCACATACATCCATATGTGCATATGTGTTCACATCTACATCGATGTACGCATATGTGGAAAATGACAACAACATGTGTGCACTCATGAAACACTGGCTGTGTATTCATATCATACCATAGTTTACTATGTTATGTTATGCTATATGCATGTATACATACATACAAACATACATGTAAAGCTGTATATGCGTACATATGTATTAAAAATGTCAATGTACACTCATGCGCATAGTACATTACACCTCACGGCACTACAGCGCATTACATGCATACATAGCCGTGAGTCCTGGACCGAATGTCCAGATGAGCAGTGCAGGGTTTAGGGTTTAGGGATCTTTAAAAGGGATCCTTAAAAGGGATCTTTAAAGGGCTCCTTGAAGGGTATCTTACAGTGCCAGGCCAACACTTCCCAACAGGGCTTCAACTTACTTGCAGGAGAACTTGGACACAACAAAGGGCCTCGTATGGAGAGTGAGGGGTTTAGGTTGATGGGATCCTAGGTTGACTGAAGACCGGCCCGTCGAGAGGGAATGCTGCTTTCTCTGCAACAATGGCACTGAAGCGTGCAGGTACCTCTGCGATTCCGTGCGTGCTTACGCAGCCAATTGTAGAAAGAGAGAGGCGAGAGGGTTCATGCGCGATTTGAGGCAAATCCGGAGGTACACCTGCTTTCCAGGCATGACGGCGAAGTGGTACACGCAAGGATGATGATTCCACATAGTTCCACGCTTCAACTTGCATTTGCGCGCTTTAGTCGTCCTGGCACGTTGCAAGGCCTCGATAACCAATATGACCAACTGCACCTGTGCTGGTAGCCCTGTTTCAAGAGAAAGCTTCCATAAGGTTTTCGATGTGGCATCGTGTCAAAACCGCGCGTGGAACTCGTGTCCAACTACTGCTGTCATGGTGGCGGGTTGTAGTGGTTCTGGTGCTGGCGGCAGAGACAGCTATCTCAGTCGCAGGCTGTACCAAGTCAAGTCAAGCCTGAGTTCAGGTGAGTCCCTGATGCCTGCTGCAGAAACACGGATATGCCAAGCTTCATGCACCTCCAATGACGAAGCAAAGCCTTGATGCACTCTCCTTGGCACAGAGCCACATCCCACCACTTGATAGAATATGCATGCCCACTGAGCTGCAGACATGCTATCTCCGAGCGATACACTTCGCTTAACACCGCCTTTCTTGTCTCATTTTGTCGGCAGCCACACGGCGGCAGCCAAAGCGGCTAACAAGGCAGCCTCCAGAACTCACAGAGCTGGTGAAGCGGCTGACTTTCATCGTTTGTGTGTCATGGTTTGCTTTGTGAGGTACAAACGAGTATCGTGGGGACAATAAAGCTTCATTAGGAAGGGACACGGTCGTTTGTATGGGTACCGGCTACCCAGAAGTATCAACAGAAGCTCGCGGCCGACGTTATTTGTCAGAAAGCCCGGATGCCTCGTTCTGCCTCTATGGCTGCAACCCTAGCGCTGAGGCAAAGCAGGCAGAGCCTTGCCGAGCAACAGCATGATGTGGACGCTTTGCAGGTTTAGGGTTTGAGAGTTTAGTTCATTGCAGTCCCTGTTGAAAGAAAGAGTGGAAGGGCTTTGCGCAGGCATGGGCAACAAAGTCAGATATTCTGCGTGGTTGCCATGAGGGGGCTGGAAGGGTAATACATGGGGTGTACGTGTCTCGCTTGAAAGTCTGGGAGTACTTGTTTGGCATCGGTTTACGATTAGAAAAGTAGCTGACTAGGGGAATGAATGCAATCTCCCTGGTACGAGTCGTCTTTCCGCCGAGGCCACATTAAGACCAACAATCACCGGAAGGATCTGCCATATTGCCTTCAGCTTGACATGCTTGGCGAAAAGATCCGCCCTCAGTTGTGGAGCAGCCCTTTGCTCAGAAAGAGATGCGGAAAGCAGAGACGTTCTGCAGCCCGCCGGAGTTACTAGACTGCAATCACAGTCCCAGGCTCTTGTCCAGTCACGCACCTTCTTGAAATCAGTTCCAGTCAACTTCGATGTAATGCAAACGACCCTAAGCCAACCCTAAGCAAAAAGCTGCTTTGCGGGATGATGTGCTGAGTCTGCCCGCCTGCAGAAAAAAGAGCCCGTTGCTCAATGTGTGCTAGGTCGGCTGAGACAAGAGGAGCTCCAAAAAAGAACAAACCTCGACCGTCGCCACACGACCATATCAGGCAGAACTCGATTGCACACAACACACGTGCATGTGTGTTGTAGTTAAACTTAGGTGTGCGTGCATGCATGTATGGTATATACTTGCATACCATAAACAATTACGTCTACATATAGAACAATAGGGCTATGCGGTTCGTTATGCCATGGTTAGTACTGAGTAAACAGCTGTAAGGGTAATTATACTATCAGCAAGCAAGGCCACAGAGCACACAACGCGCCTTCCATAGGCCCTAAACCGATCGAGCCCGAAAGACGAGTTCTGAGGCCTTTACCTTGGAACAGGCTCGGAGCTCCGAGTGGTTTGTTGTTTACTGGGTTCTTGTTAGGGAGTTTAAATGAAGCTACCATAATAAGCAAAGTTGAATTCCGAGCCCGGTTCAGGCTTCAGGGCCTCAGGGTTCGTGGAAGGTTTGGGCTTTCAGTGGAGTTCCAGTTGCAAAAAGACGTTTAGCGCCGTGACCAAGGCTTGGGACCTACTTCAGCGCTGTAGTCCTGATGCCTGAGCAGTTTCTGATACTAATCCCGGTCTGCTTTGGCTTGAACCGTCAGGTTTCAAGATTCGCTTACGATTCAGGGGTTTAGGGCTTCTGGAGTCTTCGGGGTAAGGCTTCGTGGGTTGGGGATGGTGTTGGCTCTTCGGGCTTGAGAGGCTCAAAGTTCACAGCCTATAAGCCCAGCTTTGCTTTAGTTTTGGTGTTCAGTTGAGAACAGATGTCCAGCTCAGAACCCAAGGGACCGCCCTAGCCCGAGTCGAAGTGCTAGGCATCAGCCCCAACCAAAGCCGAATAGTAGTTTCCAACCTTGGGGGTTGTGAGTTCAGGTTTCTTCCGAAGCCCACGTCTGACTCGAGCAGGTTTCCTCAAAACATGCCCTTGTTGCGGGACCTCATTGAGACGATGACCCTGCGAGAGCGCCGCTCCAGGACTGGGGCCGCAACAGTTGGAGGATGCTTGCCTTTAGGGTTTCGGGGTTTAGGGGTTTAAGGCTTAAGGTCGAATCTTTCTCATTCTGTGACTCTTGTCCGTCTTCCGTGTAGGTTCGATGTATACGGGTTCTTCTCGGATGGGTTCTCCCACTAATGCCCGGAAACTTAGCATTGACTAACCCTGAACCCCTCAACCTGAAAAACCCTAGCAGACCGCTGATTCTAATTGTGTTTTCGAGCTCTGGACTGCGGAAATCGGAGTTCAGGGCTTTGTTTGGCCAGTCCTTGCACTCGACCCTGCCAACGCAGATGACCGGGGCGAAAGCTCTACGTCTCATCCAACCAAGTCGTGAGTCTATATACCTGAATCATAGACTTGTATAGACCGACTGCCACCGTGTCAGCAACCAGGGATACTGTTGATGATATAAATCCTGCATGACCTTAAGGACCCTAAACTATGGGAATTATGGTGCTTTCCATATTGTGGGTAATGCAGGATTGCAGGATGTATATCATCAACCGTAGTGGAGTCCTTCTGAAGCGCTCTTTCTCCGGCTTGTGTTGGTGTGGCCTGAGTGTAGCAACACGGGCGGCCTGGAAGGTGTGTCACTCCCATCCAGGGGTTTGTCCGCTACACGAGTTCATGGCTCATCATTGAAATGGGAGTTTCCGAAAATGACGGGTACCTGATTTTGGGATCCTTATAATAAGGATCCTACGATCAGGGTACCATATTTTCGGAAACTCCCAAATCGTCCTGGTTGGTTGTGCTTGCTGGTGTTGTCCGGCAGGCCTGTAGCCATGGTGGCGTTAAACCATGACTGGCGCCGCGGATGCATTTTAGCTACGGTTTAGGGTATAGTTATAGGGTCTGCCGACAGTCTTCGGATCCGGCTGCTCAAAAACGACTTCAGGGCTGCAACTTCAAACCTGCAATGAGCTTCAGAATCCTTGAGAGTATCGAAACCGCAAGAATCCCAGACTCCTGCTTGGCACGGCACAGTTCGGCATGGAGCAATAACTATAGCGTACTGTTGGCGTCTGCGGCTGATGAGTGATCTGTTTCCTGGTGTGCCTCTGATCTCGGCCGTGAAAGCTGAACTGGAAAGCCCGACTTTGAGCACGGAACGCTGGAGCCTAAACCCTAACAAGGTTCAAAAGCTCGACAGATGCAGAGCTTCCGTCGACATCGTTGCAGCCTTCCTGCACTGGCATTTTACTGGCTTCAGGTCAAAGTGGCGGTCGGTCAATTCTACTTGAGCGCTTTGGCAGTCTCAGCAATGGTTGAGTCTTGAACTTGGCACCAGCAAATCGTTGTTCGCATCCAAGCTACCAATGCCCTTATTGGTCATAGACACCTTGATGCTGAAGTCTTTTGCTGTTCGGCCGGCCCATCATTGCTGACTGCATCTACTTGCTGCAATGACGTTCGAAGGCGCCCGTCCTATTCGTATTTCTACTGACAGTCTCCATTTGTTTGTCACGTACATGCTTCCACCCAAGGATGGAGACATGCTTGACGTACAACCAGTGTTGTTCTACAAGTTGTCGCTACCTGATATGAGAAATACCGAAGAGTAGGGGTACCTTAATTTGGGGTCCTTATAATATGGATCCTACTATTTAGGGTACTATATTAGGGTCCCACATTTTCGGAAAGCCCCATATGAGAAGCTGAGCTGCGACATGTCCCGCTATGAGTCACCGCTTCCTGCTGGCAGCTAGCAGTCCTCAAGTGCACAGCCTTGTGCCTGAATGTTAGCAGATGATGCCCCTGGTTGCTTAGATGGTTGGACAGACATAAGCAGGAGCAAAAGCAAAATCTTTAGTACAGGGACCTAGATCATTACCTAAGCTATCTTGCGGGTTCCTTGTTATAAACATATAGTTTTGGCCCTGTATTATTCTGCGGCTCTAGTGTGGCAGGATTGTCACCATTCTAGTTCTTGGTTTCTCCAGCAGCCGTACATAAACCTTCTGCAGCCAGAACCTTAACTCCAAGGTACTAATAAGCAACCCTAAACCCTAGGAAGCCTCTATAAGCTCTGAGAGGTACGCAACCCTAAACTTTGGGAGGCTGTGAAGCCCCGAGAGCCCGAAATCGAAAGCGCTGCCCAAGGCAGGGGCTCCTGGGTTGCGCAGTGGGCCACGAGGTCATGGAAGAGCTCGCCATCCGCCTTAGTGAGGCCGAGAACTCTTCGGGGGCTTATAGGGACTTGGAAGTTCTTTTGAGGACGGGTGTGAGGGAAGGTTGGGGATGTTGCTTTCCGGCGTTTTCTTTGGGGTGCTTGGTCGCTTTTTGCTTTCGGTCTTCCACACTTGGCGAGTTTTGTGAGCGCTTAGTGTTCAGACAAGGAGGGCATGGTCATTGGAAGTACAGCCCAAAATGGGCAAAAGCAGGCAAGATAATGATCCGAGAAGGGGGGCATTGAGACTTCCAGGGCCCAGGGTCCTTACTTCCGGCCAGGCAAACACGCTCCACATCCTGCGGCAGTTGCAACAGCAGTTCCAGCAGCAGGATCGTGCCTTGACTGACACACTTGGTCATGTACAGTTCAGAGACACAAGTTTTTTCGCAAAACCCTCCGTGCACCCAGACCCAGCATCGCCCTTGTGCCGAAGTCATCCGAAGTCCCAAGTTCTACTTGCAAGAAGGGCTCGAGCCTCCAGCTCTGACGCAGACACTGACTGGACATCACCACGAAAAGCGTGTACGCCTAGCGTCATGCGGGTCGATGCTTGTTAGGATAGACCTTCGCAGGCTTCCTTGCCCACGCGATAGCGGACCCATGGTACCGCGCATGTTTGCGTGTTTGCGCGCTCCTTTATCCTGTGACCTAGCCTTAGTAATTCAAGAACCTGAATTCCTTTGTAAACTTTCAAAAGGCTGTAAAGTCGACACTCTGATCTACAGGAACATAGGTACGCCGAAACACCCATGGCATCGAGCGACGAGGAGAATGGTGATGATGACCGTGACTTTGACGACGGCAGCAACACCGCTCAGAAAGACCTGCAGGGCCTGATGGTGGCAGCAGGAACGACGGTGCGTTGCAACTGGCTGGAGCCGTCGAAGAAGAGCCAGAGCGAGCCCATGGAATCGGCTGCCAAGAAGGCCAAAGTCGATGCGGCGGAGAGAGAGGCGGCCTTCGCGCAGCTTCTTGCTGCCGCAAAAACCTGTGAGCGTTTTCAAGTCAAAGGCCCCGCATGGGTCCGGAGCGCAAGCAGATATCCGGAAGTGCCGGAGCGCCATGCTGCGATCCTACGGGCAGTATCAGAGTCTCTGATGAATCGATTGGTGGTGCTGCGTGTTGACAACTTCCCTGGCTCCGGAGATCCTGTGTTTGGCACCAAGCACGAGCTTCGAAGGAGCTTCCGGGCCCCTGATTTCTTTGGGAAGCTCACATCAGGCTTCAAGGGCACCTCTGGTTCTGGCTCTCCCTGCCTCAAGAAGCTGACGCTGCAAGGCGGCTTCCACTCAGCTTCATCACTTTGCAACTTTTTGCAGGTGGTCAAGCCGCAGCTCGAATCCTTCCGCTGCCGGGGGTGCCTCTTTCATGGCCGGAACTTCGAGATGCTGGTCAAGGCCTTAAGCGCAAGCCGGAGTAGTCTCCTAGAGTTTGAGACAGATGCAGCCATCGGCGGCGAGGATCCAATCGGACTCTTGGCTGACTCTTTCCCAAACCTCAGGATTCTTCGCGTCAAGTACATGTTTGGAAAGGCGGACCAGCTTCAAGCCCTCAGCCGCCTCACGCAACTTCGCAGGAAGCAGTGTGTTCTGCCGAAGGACGACTTCCGACTCTCCGGGCGCCCGGCCGTGGACGCCGAGAGAGGCATCGTCTACTGGTGTATCAGTTCCGAGCACCACGACGACGACTACAGAGGAGAGGGCCTGTGGTGGGACGAGCTTGGGAACACGATGGAGTGCATGGAGCAGTGGGCCGTCGGAAAGGGCGTAACCAAGGAGAAGTGCCTAGACTTCATGAAAGACTGTGGCATCGAGCTGGACGACCGCCTAAACGACGAGGAGTGCGGCATGCTGGAAGAGGGGATGAACAGTGAGGTCGACTCGGAGGCTGACCAGGACACAATCGCCGTGCAGCTAGAAGTGGACGATTCGGAAATGGGCTCCACCGGCCATCTGGCGATCAAGGCACGTACGATGGATGGTCGCGAGTTCGCACAAGTGACTCTGGATGCCAACAAGACTCTCGTGCGCACACTTGTCGATGAGTTGGCCTCAAAGTATCCCTGCTCGCCCCTCGCTATGCGACTGGTGCTGCCAAGTGGCACTTGCATCGATGCTCTCGAAACAGCAAGTAAGTCTTTAGCCGCGGCGTTGGTATGATGGCGCAGACGATGACATCTGGCGACCAAGCACGAAAATCCGTTTCTGGGGGATCGCTTCCGATCACTTGCTTTGACTGCCAATACTTGGCTGAGCAACTACCAGTAGCAATCCAGCCTTGTAGTCAAACAGCATTCATCACTCATTTACCTGAGACCGTCCCGGCCCTCATCTCCTATTTCTGTAAGAGTCTTCTTACCTGTCTACCTTAACCCGGCCCTGTGATCTTCTCAGAGTAGTGGCTGACGTCTTCAATTCAATTCGCGTATTCGTCACTGCGAAGATCTGAGTAGGAGTGTGGCCGAAAGTTCATTGTATTTCATGTTGTAGCTTGAAGGGTCGGATTGTTGTCCTTTGGCCAGAGGCTCCCGCCAGATTGTCTCACCTCAAATCAAGCCTCGAATTACATGCCTCGCCTGGATCGTCATAGTGTGAGCCTTTTCTACCTCAATATCTGTTGTTGCCATGTAAGCCTCGAAGCGATGCTGACACATGCTTCAAGCGTGCTTTGCCTTCTGTTGCATGATGGTAGTTTGGGACGTTCTGCTGCTAAGGACGGCGGCGCCTTGGCAGAAGCTTGGGATGTTGAGAAAACTTACGTTTGCTGTCCTTCTTACTACTATACCATATACTAGTCTATGTTCGTTGGCTTCTGAAATTTTATTAATGCCGATGTCAAACTTTCCTTAGTGGTTTTTTGAGGAGAGTGGCCAGCGAGGAGCCGAAAATCCCTGAAGCCTCACCCTATGCCGGTCTCATGCCGCACCCTTCAAACCCCCATACATGAACTAAGGCGCCCCAAAACCCCATCCCAGTTAGTCAGACCGCTTGATATAGCACCCTGACCAGGGCCCAATGGAACGCCTCATGTTCAAAGCCATGCTAAATATTGTCAAGAGCTCCTATGTTCTCATCGTAGGAGCTCTGGTAGAAACCCAAAGAAGCCCTGCGAGACCCAGGTCTGACGCTTCGAGAACCAGAGAGAGAGAGAGAGAGAGCGAGAGAGAGAGAGAGAGAGAGAGTTAGGGTTTAGGGTTTAGGGTGTGCGTCGGCTGTCATGAGCACTGTCGATGCGCGATGCTTGATGCTTCTTGTCTCCACACTTCGTCAAGCGAGTGTGGGGATTGCCGGGCGGTGGTAAAGGCCCGATGCAAAAAAAGGGTTTAGGGTTTTTGGCTGTCACAGCTTGCAGGCAAGGCACCGTTGAGAGCGAGATCGCCATGGAGCTGCTTCTGGCACACGGCGCCAGAGCCCCAGAGCATGGAACGGCAAAGAGACCTTCATGATTGGAAGAGGATCTTTGTTTGGGTACATTACAACGGAATCATAATAAAACTATCCCAGAATCTCAGATTAGGAGCCCAAAATGCACCTAAGCCTAAATCTGTTAAGGTAACGCAAGGAGTAATACCCCTACAACGGCGGGGCAGGCCTGTCAGAGCGACCGTAAGCTCTAAAGACGTTTGGAGAGTATGCATTAGCTGGCAAAGCTCCGTTCAATCTGACAGGCGCCTAGAACAGGGAACCTTTGCGGGAAGATGCCTCTATCCCCAGAGCCTAAACTCTTTGTCCCAAAGCCAAACAAGCTGAGCACAAGTAGCCCAGCATGTGACGATAGATGAGGGTTTAGGGAGTGGTGTTTAGAATCTCCTTGGAGGTCGGCAAGTACAGCTTCAAGAAAGGGTATACGATTCGGGATCAGGGCTTTAGTGCTCCACAGCTCCGGGATTGGGGATGAGGGTCCACTTCTCTAAGCGGCTGTCCCTTCTTGCGTTCAATTTGAGACATCTCCCCAACCTGAGCCGCTTCAAGCTTGCCAATATTTTTCCTGGGTTCAAGAATATGAGTATGGTTGATTATAGTATACAGAACAGGAATCTACTTGTTAAGGCCGCGGTCATACCCGAATCACACCTTGAATGTGCCGTCGTTTCGTTGCCTCGCCTGTGACGGTTAGGAACCTCATGTTGCCATCTATATGTCAACATAATTTCGTACATACACACATACATACATACATACACATACATAACTAATAACTATCATCTGCATATACATGTTATGTCTGTGATGCGCCAATGTGTGCAGATGCGATAAGGCTGTAAGGCCCTGCTGTTGAGGAGTGTTCGCTGGCACACACTCCAAGCCCATGCTGGAAAAATGTTTTACGGCCGCACTGAACCACTTAGCAGCCAGACTCCGACCAGCGGAAAATGCCAAAGATTTGTAAAGCCTCTGGAGGCTACTGTAGAAGCCTCAACGGTTGCCAACATGTTGCCTATATCAACGAAGTAGGTGGTGCAGGAATGTATGCTGACCATCCCAGAATAGTCATTGCTAGGCCTTTTGCCGGCCAACAGGTCCCGAGCAAAATCGCTCGCCTCTGCACTGAGTCGAGCGGACCTCAATTTCAGTACGCTGCTGGACTCAAGCCTGAGTGGGTCGGGTCTGAAACATCTTCTTTCGTCGCTCCATCTTTTCTACTGGTCTTGTTTGCCATCTAGACACTTTTGGCTCAGGCTGTTCGTTTCAGGCTTGCTGTTCATTTTTGATGCAACCAAAGCCATGTAAAATGCGTCGCTACTTTTTTTTAGCCAGCAACACTGGAACACCAGGAAACCGTGTTTGCCACCACAAAATCAACCGTGCAATCTCAGCGCAGTAGCAGCAGCAGCAGTAGTAGTAGTCGTCGTAGTAGGAGTGGAAGCAGCAGCGGCAGTAGTAGTAGTAGTAGTAGTAGTAGTAGTAGTAGTAGTAGTAGTAGTAGTAGTAGTAGTTCGTGAGAGGCGAGAGCGCTGCGGCCCATCACAACTACCCCTTGTCGAGCTTCCCACAACCTCTCCCATGTTCCCTGGTTGAACCTCAAACCCAAAACTACCTTAGCGTGCGACGTTACTGCAGTCTAAGTTTGGCACCTTCAGCCGAGTTGATCCAGGGTCTCCTTGCTCTAAGAGCCGCAGTTCAGGGTATTGGGTTCAGTGCTGTCACAGACTGGCCCACTTAGCACGGGACAGCTTTCATCCCGAAGGACCGTTTACAGCAGCGTCAGAGGCTGAACTTCAAGTATGGTATTTAAGATCTGTGCAAGTGTACTGACTGTGCCTATCCAGATGCGTGAACTCAACAAACCTGTCGCACAAGGGTACCGTGCTTAGGGTAAGTATACCTGAAAGCAGTACTTTGCGCAGTACTTCGTACTTCGTAGTGTGGACGCGCAGGCCTCCTTGATGAACGATCTGCTTGCTTCCAAAGAAAGGTGGGATTTCCGGTCTACGTTGCTGTCTCCGTCACCGATTAGAATGTGCCACAGTCCTTTCTTTACCATTTCTTTGTGCTTGCACTGCCCTTGCTTGTCAGCTCATACCTGTGATCTCGCCGCAAACGGCGTTGTACCCACCGGCGGATACCTCGTTGAACCGATTGTGTCAATGTTTGGGCAGGTACGGCTACCAATACGTTCTCGAAGCTTGGCTTGCCTCATGCGCCGACTGTGAACCCCAAACCTCTGAGCCAAAGCCGTGGTTACCGAACATAGCCTGCAATGCGACCATCGTCCTTGCTAAGTAGGAGGGGAAAGGACAACCCGATTGCCTGGACCCTCGTGTCACCCTCTCCCCCTCCCCCTCTCCCTCATCAAGACAACGGTATTGGTAAGTCCTTCGGAGGTTAAAGAGGGGATGGGAGTCGATTTAAAACCGGCTTCTTTCTGAAGAGCTCGCAGCAAAATGCATGCTCGGGGTTGACTGAAGTGACTTGAGCTGTGAGGCCCTAAGCCCTCCCTGCAGCACTAAACACCCGATCCTGCTGCAGTTCCTTCCTAAACTTTTCGTCCATTTGCCCTTACAAGGCAGGTTGCGTAAGCCACGGATAGACTCCTTGGAACCTTAAACCGTCACCACGTCGTCCGCCGCGCGCGGGCCAATCTGCAGGAAGACTCACGGAAAGCCGAAGGGGTCTGGTAAGCAATACAGAGCACTACACCCCTAAAACCCCTGAACCCGAAAACCCGGCAGCCCCAAATCCTGAAGCCCAAGACTTTCAAACCTTCAACCCTACAATCCGAAAGCCCAAGCTTAGACTGCAAAAGGAACACGCCTTGGCCCTGATTTCGTTTTGTGTCGAGGAACTGTTTCAATCCTTGGACGTCGATTCCTCTGGGCTCCTCTGGCTGCAGCGTAGACGACTTAGTCATCGTCCCCCCTAGCGTTCCTTAATTTACCTGAATACTCAGTCATAATGTCTTGCATACATGTTATATAGTGACTTATAGTATCTTATACATATATACATATATATGTATACAGTATATAGTAACGCATATTCGGTTTATAGTATCTCAGTATCTTATAGCTACTGAGAGTTTCCGGAAGTATGAATTCCCCGTCTGTGACGGTAGGCACCCTCTGGAATCAATGTGATGCTAAAGGGATCAGATGTCAGAATCCCGAGCCGCGGCTTCGAGTCCTTACAGTGTCCTTGTCGTTTCAACAGCTTCTCTTTGAAAAGTTCAGATGCGCACGCATGCACACCCGGAGACACATGCGCACAAGTGCAGGGCAAGACCGCTTTCACGAAGTTGGAGTGTTTAAAGCCCTAAGTAAGCCAAAGCCGTTTGCCCTCAACCCCAGACCCAAACCTTTCCTGTTCGCGGTTGTTGACCCCCTGAAGCCCTGCATCGGTGCACAAGACTGGAAAGTACTCCCACGACCCCAGCCCAAGCCATCAATCAACAGGCCAGCTAAACACACCTCGTGATGGATGGTTCGACCGCAGAGAGGCACTGAAGTCTCGTCCGTAGTATTTCTTTAGCATTCAATCCCCAATATCAAGCACCCTATCGAGCCCCAAGTCCCTAAACATTAGGTCGAGCCACATTTCATTTGCATCTTCCTATTCACCTCCAACGGCGCCATGTTCCTCTCCAGACTCTGAGGAGCCTCACTTTGGAGGAGCTGCGGGGACTCATCGGCGGTGGCGCGCCACGGCAGGGCTAGCTACTG